ATATTTGTAATTCAATGTGGGTGGAGCATTTTCTTAATATTCCTCCAACTAGTTGTTATTTATTTATTGATGAATGCAAAATGCACACAATAGAAAAAATTAACAACAAAAAATCCATATTAGTTCATTTTAATCGTAGATGAATAGAATGAAAAGAAAGAAAAACAGATTTTTATTAAGATAACTAAAATGATATGTTAACCTGCTGAAATACATATATTTCGTATATATATATATATATATACGTATAAATTGATATTTTGCAAAACTTGAGTGGTTTAGGTTCAGTCTGTTTGATATCGATTCTCAATTCTATAATCTCAACATATACATCAATTCTGTTATTGTGATCCTTATTAAAAATTCATCTATTTTGTTTTGTTTGTAAATTACAAAGTGTATGTTACGTGCTCTTTGAACATATGTGAAAGGCTTACAGTTGTCTCCTTACCAAGCGAAGCTAGATCTGATTTAGTGCAATTAAAATAAAGTTTCACTTTTTAGTAAATTATTTCAAATGTATTGCCAATAACAAAGTGTGTTAACTGGAGTAAAACAACGTTTCTACACATTCCAAAGGGAATTATCCGTATTTGGAAATGAAACCTTCATCTATTCTGGCTAATATATTGAAGAGAACCATCTTCGAATAATAACATGTAATGTAAATGTAAATCAAGCAAATACAAAGTCAGGTTTTTAAAACAAAATGTTTCTTTAATTTGTGTCAACAGCAGTACAAAAGATGGAGTGATGTGAGAGTCTTTCCGCAGCACATGGTGTGTCTCTTACAGAAAAGCAGGAGGTTTTGTTGAGGTAAATGAGTTGAACAGGCAGTTGTTGAGCCGTTTACAACGTACGAATGCTGTTACATGAGTGATCTCCTCTGGGCTCGTGTCATACTGTGTCTCTCATTGGTTTGTATAGACTTCTATCTGAAGAGTTCCCTCCACACATCACTGTAAAATGATTCACCTTACGTCAATACTGCACGAGGAAACCAAAGACTTGCTTGTTTACACTTCGAAGCCAAGCAAAATAAAACAAAAACAAACGGTTTTTCAAAACATTGTCTTTTTTTCTTTTCATTTTAGTAATAATACCCCTAGCAAATGATTGATCTTTTGAGCTGTATGCAGAATGTGAACACAAATGATGGCAACATTTTAAGTTGAATTAAAAACTTTACATTGGACTGTACAAGATATTATGATAAACTATTTACATATTCAGACATAAACTTCTTTAAAAGCAGCAACAGACACTATGTATTTCATTTTTCTCTAGTAACACCCATAAATACTTGCCATGGGTCTAGGTACCTGCCAGGGAAAAAAAAAAAATCTACGCAGAAGACTGTATCAGGCTGTCAGCATGTATGTAGGCTCCAGTGACCGCAGAGCCACACAGTGTCGCTTAGAGATTCTAAAAAGCAAAGTATTGAACAATGAACTGTACACTTCTGAACAGCAGCTAGCATCAGTCCAGCATGTCAGTGAATTGTGCTGATAAATTAACACGGAGAACATTCTCACCAAAGACATTACATACAAATCAAATACAGTAAGTCAGTTTGAACAGCATCCATGTTGTCTCCCATGGCGCATTAAGACATGTCCACATCCAACAAGTGAGTTAAAGAAAAGTGTTGCGGATGGCTGGTTTAAAAAAAAAAAAAAAAAGAAAGAAAAGAAACTAAGACTAATAATAAAGAGGCACAACATCTGTGCATTTGACACATGACGATAAAAGAATAAATATTTGCACACTCCCACGTTTAAAAACATCTAAAAGCATTACTAAAAAAAACAGCATTCTTAAAACGCATTGAGGGGAAAAATGCAAGCGCAGAGCATGCACGTTTTCCCAGAGGATTTTAAAAATGTCATCAATATTTTTCGCCAACGAGAATTCAGCATGAGATTTATGATTTGACATTATTGATAAACGCCGTGTCAAGTGCATGTCGTTTTTTTTTTTAAATAGTACCGTAATCGTTTTTTGTTCCTCTTGTTTAATACATCTGTCTGTCTCTCTGGTGTGGAAGATTATCAAAACAAATGAGGTGTTTGTCCTTGTGTCCGGTCTAAACCTGCCTGCCTCCTGAAAGCAAAGCATTTCAGCATCGACCTGAGGTACACTCACGCGTCAGGTTTGAAAAACATGAAACCCCTTACAAAAATAAAAACGCACGGAAATAAAATAGATTAGCCATAACATAACTTATACTTCACTAAACACAAAAAAATATATTCCCTATGTTGTATTTACAATAAAAGGGTGAAATGTTGAATTGACGGATCCAAATTCTCAAATGGGTTAATTTTGATTGTCTTTTTTTTCTATTTTTGACTGACAGGTTTTGAGCCAGTTGTGGCTAATAAATACTATGTTGATACAGATACAAATACAATATACAATGCACTGAAGTCTAGTGTTTCATGATTAACTGAGCCCCGCTGTTACATTTCTGCTCTCTTTCTTGTGCTCTACCCTAGGCAGCCCTGAAGCTTAAACAAAGTGTTCATTCATCACATGTGTCTTGTATAAATAAACAAAATAAGTAGACAAAACTGACTCAGATCTGGCAACTGTGAAAGCGTAATGTCCGGCTGGGGAATTTTATTTATTCCCCCTCAAACAGCTTCACATTAATCAGCATTGATAAAAAATACAATTTAACTGTATATCCAGTGCTTACATCATTAAGAATAATTGTCTCCTCTGATTTTTTTTTGTCTTTTACGCTGCGTGAGCACAGTCAGATCTGTGAGTCCATTTTTCTGCCGGCATGGTCAAGAACATATTTACATCACATACAAAGCAATATTTCCACCAGCAAACAGGAGCAGACAGCGTACACATACTCAGTGGGCTTTGTCAGAGTGTCCTGACAGTTTGTACCTCAACAAACAATGAAATGCAGAAAAGATGCAATGATTAAAAAAAAAGAAGGAATTACATGTATCGCTAGTATTTTTGAGGATGTTGGTGACACAAGCAGTGAAGTTGTAATTAGCCATATCTGTATGTAAGAGCATTAAAATGCAGTGACCAGCAGTGGGGATTTCAAGCAGCTATAGCCAACCATCCAGGTTTCTCTAAAGCCAGTGGACTTAGTGAACTGGACCGGTTCAAGGGCATGGGGGGAATAGCTGGAGTCATACATTAATAATGGTGTATTTCAGATGATATCCAGTCGTCAGTCATTTCAATAATCCCCCACAGCTTGATGTACTTGTTCCATCTGCTCACCAGCCCTGGTGATTGGAGCAGGGTGTGAGCCCTGTTGAGGCCTTCCTTCCAACACTTTGATGGAGAGCACAATGAGGAACACACACACACAGCGTTTATTGTTCCTCTGCCCTCCCCGGTGTGTTCTTTTGCCCGGGGCCAGATGGTGCCCCCTGTGTGCTGGGGTTGCACTGGGCAGGGGTCAAAGCAGGGCATGGCTAAGAGGGGAGTCACTTAGACCTTCCACTCCGTAAAGAGGATCTGAGTCGCAACATCAAGGCCTCAAGTGCTCTAGGAGCTTTAGCGAGCTACAGCCTTCAGAAGGTCACCACTCGTCAGCTTTTTAAGCCCAAATCAGAGATTTGTGCCCCTTGCATTTGAATGATTTCTTGTTGTTTTATTCCAATGCAAGAGGATAAGTGCATTCGGGTGCTAATTAGATTAGAACAATAATATAGTATAATGAGTGCATGAGAATTTGGCGAAGTGCACTAATGCGAGTAAGCATTTACCAACACCATGTCAACACAAGGTCATTTAAGAAACAAACATTTGATTTAAGGCTTTCTTAGGAACATCCTCTGAAATTGTCCCTCTTCTTAAGACTGCTGCAGTAATCAGGTCATTACTTCAACCCAATGACCACACTCTGCTTTAAGACTTCTTAGTGTCAATTTAAGATTTACAATGTCTCAAAAGAATTAACATTTAAAAATTAAGCTTTAGGCCAAAGGCTTTAACTTGTCATCCAAATGGGGCTTAAGTGTTTAATAGAATGTACTGTAGCTCTACATTGTACAACATCAATTTGAGAATGTAATGCCCCAAAGCTGCCTTTTGCTGCTGTTCCAATCCCACAGATTGAAGGCCTTTGGCCCTTTAGCATGCTGGCCTGATTACAATCACTCTGATTAAGAACGTGGTGAGTCAGACTGGGAAGAGTCAGGGATGCTCCGCTGCCTCTGGTGGACGTCAAAATGAAAGAAGTGGTCGTTTCATTGATGATCACTGCATTGGGCTCTGGGAGCTCCGCGTGCATCTTAAACTGCAGCTCCAAGATGTCTAACCCTCCCCTGCTGACTTCCTGAGTTTCATTTGTTTATTCTGTTAGTGTAAATTAAAGAAAGACTGGATAATGAAGCTGCATTAAGAGATCAAGAGATTGTCTTAGACTCACCATGTCTTCCCCAGAAGACCTGACAGATATTAGAAACTACTTGAAACATTTGGCACTTCTGCACAAAATCATGCGGTTTGATTTTGTAATAATAATAACAAAAAACATAATAATAAACATAATAATAATCATTTCTACGCTCTCAATTTCTACTGTGTTATACTGTGTATAAGATGTTGTATAATTTAGTACTGGTCGTCTATTGATTAGAACATTCACAAGCTGCTGGCACACTATACCTGAGTGACAATATTATTCTCATCTTGAACAGTTCTGTCATTTATCACCTAATTATTAAGAGGAAAATTATTATATTCAATTTCAAGTTCTGACGGTTTCTAGGCAAAAACCTAACAATAATAATATTAACACAAATGTTTGTGAGTACACCATGGCAAAAAAAAAAAACAACCAACAAAATGATGAGATAAAAAATTAAATTACCACAACCAAACTGCTTCACACACTTAAGACCAAATAGCTTTTAGTTTTGGAAGCCACGACTGCATGCTAGCTTCAAACCCTTGTCTGAGTCTGTGTCGCTGTTGAAAACATGGGACTTTCCAGGTGTAGCTGTTTGTTCTACTCTTCAGTTGTTGTTCACCGGCTCTTGCGTTTCATTTTCACTACTATAGTCCGATTTTGGGTCATCCTCGAAATCTTCGTACATGTCCATATCGTCCTCTCCATTCACGGCCTCACTGTTGTTCACTGACATAGGGTTGGGCTCTAGCTTCATGTTGTAGGTGCTCTGGATGACAGGGATGGTGGGCTCTGGACTCGCCGACGCGCTCGAGCACTCTGATGTCATCTGAGGTGAGGGTGTGGTGGTCGCCATGGTTACTGCCCCGGGACCATAGACCATGCTGGCACTGGTGCTGATGGGGATTTGCGGCGGTTGTCTGCAGAGACCAAGAAAATCATTAGCTATGTAGTCTGACCACAAATATGACCATATGAGAGTTTGTGCAAAAGGCCTCAGTGTCAAAAGCTATCGTTAAAATATGGAAAAAAAACTTTAGTGAAAGTGTGAGCACGTCGAAAGCAATTTTATTTTTTGTTGTAAAAGCATTTGAAATGAGACGGCTAAACGACTGTGTCTTGTGCCAGCGTCTCCAAGAAAAGAATTTAAGAGGGAAAAAAAAACGTGACAGCCCCGTTTTGAGTTGTTCAGAAACACTAGCCCGTTTATTGGTGACATAAAACCAGTGCGTGGCTTGTGCTGCTCCTGCACTGCTCCTGCGCGCTGTGATTGATACACCAGTCACTGCGGCTTATGACTGACATGGGAACACCTGGAGAAGGACTATCCTTCTAACCACACACAGTAAATTCAAGTGTTAAACTGCAGACTGCTGCCCTCTGGGCTTCTGTAAGCCTACACTTATGGCTTATATCCTATAATAATGGCTCCACTTCATGCCCCATTTGTGAGATACAATTGTCTAAAGAAAATAATTATAGAACAACGACAATTATTTCTAAAAGCTTAATAAAACTACATTTAATAACCTACATAACAATATATAATGTGCCCCGTTTGAATTTAACATTGGTATATACTGTATATTGACACTACAGTTTAAACATGAGGGTGGACCAATTATTCCCTATTTCACCTTTTTTTTCTTTGAAGTAAATGTGGCTTTACCGTAGCCCAGAAAAGCCTTGTAGCATTAGGCAATCTTTAAAAGATGTCCAAAAGTTTTTAGTGCATTATAATGTTCCTTCTGCACGGTGTGGTTAGACTGTGGGATTAGTGACAGCAGGACTTACCCCACAGTGAAGAACTGTCTCATCTCTTGTCGGCGTGAACGCATCAACTGCTTGTACTCTCCAATGCGCAATTTTTTCCCGTCAATAATGCAGGTCCTCTTTGGCCTGGGCTTGTACTTGTAGTTTGGGTACTTCTCTAGGTGCTGCTTGCTCAGACGGGCCTGTTCCTCATAGTACGGCTGCTTATCTTGATTTGACATTGACTTCCACCGAGAACCTGTAAAACATGTTCAGAACACAACATTGTTGATGATACAAAATCTAGAAACATGCAAATTTAACCGGCACTTTGTGTGCCTGTGCAACCTTATGTCCAGCTAAACAGTGGAGCTTTGTGAAGAGCTTTGAGCATGACAGCACTTTTAACAGCTCTGATGTATAGACTCCAGCGCAGAGGGGACAAGACCCATTTAGCCTCTGTCATTTTTCATGACAAACACTTATGGTAGTGATAGGTTATAAATCCATCTGTATGCCGTATGTAGAGCTACCCTGTCTGATAATAGTGCCCCTTTCTCTCAGGAACTGCCATGTTCAGTACAGGAAGTGTGGTTAGAAAGACAACATACAAGGATGAGGAAGGTAAATGAACACTTATTAATACAATCTGACACATTCATTTGTATCCATTATTCTACAAGCAAAAACAAATGTCCCCAAAATAAACATAGTATTTATGTAATGTTGCTAGCACATAGTAAAGAAGATCAAAATATCAAAACTTTTGTACAAAATGTCCTCACTTATTTATACTGCATATTCTATTAACATGTGACCAAACAATTTAAGATTAAGAGATCCTTCATTCGTCCCAGTGGAGAAATTTCAGTGTTGCATCACACGTTATAGTAAGAATGAGGAGCACACAGCACAAGATAAATGAATAATAACTGTATACTAAAATACAATAAATAAAAATAAAATAACGTCTCTAACTCTAGCCTAAAAAGAAGCAGAATAAAATCTCAAACTTTATCTGTATATTCAAACATTTATCAAGGCACATATGTGTTGTATGCAATCATATTTTGCTGCTTACCTAAGATCTTGCTTATGTTGGAGTTGTGCATGTCGGGGAAGGCCTGTAGGATTTTCCTCCGTTCATCTTTCGCCCACACCATGAAAGCGTTCATTGGCCTCTTAATGTGAGGCTCATTGTTGTTTCTGCCCCGGGCTTCCCTGAAGACCCGAGCCTCTGTAGGTCCAGCTCCTCCTGTTGGCCAACAAAAATATAGGTGAGTTTATCTGAAGAACCATTGACTTCATTGGACACAGCAGGAACAAGAGGAAAGGCCAAAGACATTGATTAAATGACGGCCTATGTTCAATCTTTCTGTTCTCTCTACCATCCACTGTCACTGCCATTATCAACACCAACGTAAGCTGCACGTTACATCGAGTGGAAAAAGTGAACGTCATTCTATATGCTCAATAAAAGTGTGCAGCCAGTTGCAGTCTGATTCAATCCTCTTTATTTTCATTTGAAATCCAATCACAATGGTATGTTCTCTGTATTATTAGAGATGCTAATGCATAAGAGAGGATTAGCAATTATAAATATTGAACCCAAATGCATAAAAGTCGTTTTTATAATGAATATGTTGGACTGTATATATTTCCATAACGGTATTGAGTCAGCCAAACTTTGGTTCTCTTCTGAATATGTTTTACATCCTCAAGAGTGTAGACAAACGAACCAGCAAAGATCTGAGATAAAATAAATTGCCGATTGGCGCAAAGTGCTTTTTTTTCAATCAGGCCATTTACAATCAGCATGAGGAGAGAATTTTCCAAAGAATTAAACTGTACATCAGGCTGATAATGATTTCTATTTGCATGCACATTTGCTTCTTTTCTACGTAAGATGTGAAAGAATTAAATAAAAGCAATATTAATATTTAAACAAACAAAACATGTTGATAAACAAGGCTTGAAAAATAAGACAAAAAAGCTTTCCATATGCCACGATACATCTTTAATGATCTCAAATCTGGAAAAGAAAGCTTGGGATGACTCATGAATATTTCATCATCCACATGTTCTCATTAGACCATTCCAGTTGCGGCGTTGGCACATGGTACCTGGGGTTTGATTTCTATCATTATTTCAACTGATAAACAAATTCAAACTTATAATGAGTAACAAACAAGAATTTTGGAAAAGACACAGAAAAAGGTAATACAAGTAATAAAAACCCTGTTACTGCCACAATTTTGATGTATTATTTGCTCTTTACAAAGACTTGACTCTGCACAATGAAAGTTTGATCTTGTATATGGTTTGTCTTGTGGGAATCCGCTTCTATTCCACAGACTGCATTCATCATTTTTCATTGAAACCCCAAAAATAATACTGTGCTGTTGCTGTTATAAAGGCCACAGTGCGTTAATTTCATTTAGCATGCACTCACTGTAGAGAATGAATTGATTTTACTTTGTTTGGATTTGACAACCATGTTTATTGTGCAATGAAATGTGGTGTGGTGGAGGGTTGACAGTATCCATCAACACGGGCCAATCTGCTGACTGCTGGGGCCAGATGAAGGTATTCATTAGCTCAGGAGCGCAGCGCTCACTCAGACACGACAGCCAGTGTCTGCGCCCTGGGATCACTCGCGGTAATTTATGATGCCCCCGTGCCATTACTCTATCACTGACACTGATTCAGCAATTTATATACTGTGTGCATGCATACAGGCATAGGTGGGACACAGGGAGGGACACAAGCAGCAACTATCATCAAGTGCATACATTGCCCCAAAACCCCCCACGTGATGGTACACGGGAGGGAAGCCTGATGAGCCATTGGATGTGAGGTGAAGTAAAGGCACGAGGAACACATCTGGTAAAACTAGGGTTATCGCTCCATCTGAGGCTAGGATTGGTTTTAGAAATGACTATCAGGGTCTTCGTGTGAATCTTTCTTTGCAAAAACCAAGAGGAATTTGACATTTGAATGGGTAAATTGCTACATGCAGTATTTGCCATTTTGACACCTGCTAGCTTTGTGGCTTAATCAGCCTCCTGTGCTCCTCCAGCAAGCAATTTATGGCATATTGTTTCTGGCTTTTCATTAAAAATTACAACGGTTCTCTGACGTTTTGCCAATGAAAGTTTTTTGTATTCATTTTTTTGAGACAGGACATTTAGGAGACAGTTAGTTAGTTGCGTGATTGTGTAAATAAACACATGTTTAGCTGACAGGACAGGACCCTGGGTGCAGCTCTGGAGGCGGTGACACAAGGGAACGCTATTTAATAGAATTTATTGTGATTCATGAGGCCTGCAGCTCAAGTGTGACAGAGCGATATGAGAATCTCCTTTTAATTTGTCTCTCCTGGTTGCCCTGCTGATGAGCACGTGAATTATGTGAAAGACTGATTGTGTGAGAGTCTGAGGGGGTGTGATATTCAGGTACAAAAGGAGAAACCATAGAAAGAATAGTTCAGGGCCCGAAAGGCTCCACACCTGTGCGCAACAGGCTCAGACTCGACCCCTTTTCCTCTGTTCTGTGTCTTTGTTCAGGGCTGACACAGAATGTCACCCAGGAATCTGCAGAGGAAGAGCCCGTGAGGAGAAACAATCATGGAGCTGCCCAACCCTCTGTGTCAGGAGCTAACACCTTCAACTGCAGGCATTTAGGCCGACAATAGAGCCGCTCCCTGAGCAGGATCAGGCTAGACTAATGTGTTTGAAGAGACAGGCCAGAGAGCAGCGCCCTGGCACTGGCCTTCGCTCAGCTCAAAGCACGCCAATTAAACCATTACAAATTACAAGAGATATAAGCCCTATTATTACAAGTCAGTCGCTTTTGAGGGGGATCCTACTGAAGCATATGAGCTTTAGCACGCTGCCACATGCACATGGGAACTTCGGAACAAACAGCAGGCCTGTTTCAACTTGATCCTCTTGTGTATACATGCATTTAACTTAAAGTACAGTTTAATCCTTTACAACTTCTACGAAAGCCTCACAATGTGAAGGAGGGATTTGTGCTCTGTGTTTTACTACTTCAAAAAAGTTTTGTATTTGATTGTATTGACTTTTAGGAGAGGAATCTTTTCCTCCTCATCCTTGTGCTTTTGACGAACACTGTTTGATAGAGAAAGCCCTAGTTTTCTCATGCTCTAGGGGCAACAAAAAAAGCAAAACAATAAACTTTTTGTTATCGTAACTAAAACCATTTAAACACTGAACACATGTTACATGTGTAATGCTATTCACAAAAAATGTTGTATTGTTTTATTTACTATATTTCTTCTGACGCTGGAAAGCCTTTGACCGGGATTTTATGGGTGCAGTTATGTAATGTGGTGGTACAGTTCTTATCCTATCCTTTTTCTGATTTCTAACCTTGTTCATTTGAATCTTCCACTCTTTGTAAATATTAGCCCAAGCTCCCTGAGGCAAATGTGTGGTGCTGTGATTACAGAAGTCCACTGTACTCCAGTGTGGCTGCTCTGTTCTGCGACTAACCATGGGGCTTTCACACCCAACATAAGGCTGGGGAGGTACACCCAGTAATTTTCCTTTTCTGGAAATGCCAAACTATTTTTTTCCTGAGGAAACGGGTGGTGAATTACACAGGAAACTCAGCAATGTTGTTTGAACTTGAAAATACTTACAAAAAGTTTGTTATGTACATTGGTAATTTTGTGGCCAAAATAATGTAACAAAAGCAAGTTTGGTCTTACTCTCTGGAATATTAAATATATGAGAACAATAGTGATTGAGGACTTACAAACATTTCCAAACCTTTGTCAGTAATGTCTACAGTGCAGAGGTATTGGTACAAATACATCATAAAAACAATTTATTGTATAGAAAATAATTTTGTAAGTCTGTAATCACTACATGTCTCTTGAGTGTAAAGGTACGCTGGCAAATGGGGCCTTGTTGTTTGAGGGATTGAAGAGTAAACATGTTCTCAACTGAGTAAACACTTTGTGGTTCACAACATAAAACTTGTTTCTCTATTGCTGCAGCTCAAAGAGCGGCACAGCTATATTTTGGAAGTAAGAGAAAAAAGGCGCTAACTGTTTTGAGTTAGGATTGCTACCCAGGCTCCCAGCCACTTTCCCCTGGGAAGCAGACCTCTCCTGTCCTCTGACCTCCACATGACCTGATCCATAGCCCACTGGGAACACTGATGTGCAGCGTCTGCATCAGCCTCCGTCTGCAACAGTAATGGACTTAAAAGGACACAGCGTGTCGTATGTGTGCCCAGTTTCAGAGCTCTCCCTCAGGAGGACTGAGGACTCCCCCTGGGAGAGTGCTACTGTTGTGAAGCAGTTGAGGGAGAACATGACACATAAATGCTTTTACCCTCAGTATGCCATCTTAAAATATTTTGATATAACCGGAATTTTTAAATGAGAACTTCAATCCAAATATTTTATTTTCCTCCTGTGCATGAAAACTTAAATATTTACAGATGTGCATCCTGTATATGTTATTACTGTGTGGATCAGGGTCGCAAATGGCAACAACAAAATGTCATATTGGTGTCTGTGTTCTCAAACTTGAGGCAAACGAGGCACATATGAAAGGGAAAAACCTGTTTGTCTGGGGCAGCCCTTTCAATTACAGTTTTTTTCTTTAAAATTATCGTAAAAACATATATTAATAATACACATAATGGAAAGGTCTCCTTACCGTCAAGATCCTCTGGTCTGGTGAGGTCAATAACTCTGTGACCAATTTTCCCCTCCTCACTAAGTTTGCTGAGATGATGACCAATGCTCTCAAAGTGCGCCCTTTCCTGTGGAGAAATACAAACAGTCAGGTACAGGGACAAAGACACACAGTTTTACTGTGGCAGAATTGTAAAAAAAATCTGAATCTGAAATGTTGAAAAGATAAAAAGTGTATTTGATAAATGGAGGTTCTTTTGATAAGCTGCTCTTTTGACATGAGCTCGATGTAGCTTTTTCCCTCTCTCATCTCTCTATTCAGCTGTTGCTATAATGGATGACAGGAGGCATAGAGACAGTGAGGGCCAGGGGTGCTGCAAATAGATTTACAGACGGATACTTTGTGATCCTGAGCACACAATGAAGCCGTGGCCCTCTTTGCAGTGCTCAGATTTTCCTCTGTAATCTTCTCCTTACATCCTTCCTTCAAGTGTACAGAGCCCACAGCTCAGCGCCCATCATTTATTCAGACTTCATGCTTTGGAGAACACACCGTGTTTTCCCGTTTGTCATGTCGCTTTGTGCTCAGATTAAACTTGGCATCATGTTGTACTTGACACACAATGAAACCCTGTCATTCAGCGCTCCCTGACAATATTAAATGTCATGTCAGTGTGCATTTACAGAATAAAATAACAGCTTTCGAGGGGCACTGAATAGTTGCTGCACATTACACTTAATGTATTATGCAAGGGGAGAGTGCCGACTGCTGCTGGCTCCATTGTTGAATGACCTACTTCCTTGGTGAATACACAGGGCATTAGTAAGGGGTTGTTGTCCTCTCTAAAGACTCCGGATAGACACTTTGACTCGCATGATACAAATCATCTTTGAGCCCTTACTTCTGTCTGGGTGACGGTAAAAACAGGACTGTTGCAAGTATTCCAAAACACATTTATTTCCCTCTGAGGGCTAGCTCTCTATCTCTGCCAAAGACACAGCGGTTGGACTGACCTGCCATTGTAAACGGCTAATCGCACAAGCGGAGCATCTGCAGGTAGTGCTAACAACCGTTTGCACTGGGACACAGCAACAAAGTCCATTCATTTATTTTGTTTTCTCCTAAAGGACCAATTCTACAGAGGAAGTCTATTTGTTATTTTTTGGTTAATATTAGTATGAACTGGCAAAACGCAATATAAAAAGGCCATTTGTAATCACATCATTGTGTTTTGACAAGATGAAGCCAGACTATTAAATCAATTTAAGACATTTCAAATGATCAATTTGTGTCATGCTTTTATGAAAAACTATTCTTTAAATGAAAAAAGAAAATCACACAAAAAACACTTCAATTTTCCATCATATTTGAAGGGGGTCATAATTTATGGCCAGTTGAGTGATTTTGATATACAATTAACCACTACCTGCTTGTAGCCTGTGATTAGAGCCTGTCTATTTGACAACCCTTTGCTTACTTAAGTGTTTTCTAATTATGATATATGTGGTGGACCCCGCTGGGCAAGACGACACTTTGTAAAGGGAAGATGCAGTATGGTGCCTCTCTGCGTGTCAGAACCACAACACAGTGGATGTGCACACAGCGCTGTATTCATCAGCGCGCCACATTATTGCTCTTAATGAAAGAAACCAGCAGCATGATGACAAAGTGACTGATGTGTGATTAGCTGCACGGGCAATGGGGCTGTTTCAGATGCTCCTTGGACAGTGTAGAGGAAAGAAGACATTCAGCAAGCACTGTATATCTGTAATAAAGTAGTCATGTCATCCCTCTTCTGTGCTCGGTTGGTCCCCACTGATCAATCAAGTCCTTTTATAAACTCATGATCATTAAGTATCACGTTGGACTGAGAAGGAAGAGGAACAGGGCCCATCCATCACTGAGTTTCATTAATAGCCAGCTTAGGGTTCAACTGTTTCCTTTTCATTGCACACAAAGTCACAAGAGTAGAATTGGAACCCAGGAAAACTTGAGATCCTAAAGTCCATAAAGAGTTCCTTGGATTCTGAAGCTCTGATATAGAATCTCATCATTTTTATTAAGGTTAAGGTCATTCAGATATTGTGCTTGTCAATACCCATCTCCAGATGTTGACATTGGATCTAACTTGCACCCTTCTGGCCAATTATACTATTGTGCCGCTATGCAAATTAATGTTGTACTTATCATGCATTAACCAATACCACAAATTCTATACAATTTTATAGACTAGGCCTCATATACTTATTAGATCTAAGTTTGGTCATTTATATCCAGAAATTACACTTGCAGCAGGAATGGTGGCAATACATTATCTGGGCTGGATCAGGGTTTTGTTTTAAGTCATGAAAATATTCAGTAACTAATGCTTCCCCACAGCCAATGCATGAAGTGCTGTGATAAATTAATGGCACTTTTATTATTTTATAGTGTCATTAAATTTTTACTGATCACTCTGACACACAGGGGTAGCAAAGGACACGCCGTATCTAGGGAAATTGGCTGTTCTGCCAGGCAAAGACGAGGAGAGCACACAAGAAATGAGTGTAACATGGTCCAAGGAAATGAATGGATATGAAGAGCATAAATATAGCTGAAGAAGAACATTGTTAAAGGCAAGTAAAATAGATCATTATTTTAATGCACGAATGGAACTGGAGAAAGGCAAAGTTTAATAAGATAAAGACATTGAAACAAAAGATGTGGACATTACTCTCCTCCTACTTTTAACCACGACTGCTGGCAACAGACTTGTACCTCCCTCAAATGACTTCAGCATGCAGCTCCCTACGCCACAACTAAAATTATAGCAGCACACTCCAAGCTGTAGTGGAAAACTGCCACCCACAATAATTTCATCTGCCCTGCCTGTGCGGTCTTTTGTCTTTCAAGTTTGGGTAATGGATGGACTTTAGTCTATAGCAGCATATGGCCGTACAGTTAAGTCAGAGCTGAGACAGTGCGTGGATCTTCTCCTGTGATGGAGTCCCAAAGAGTCCCCTGTCGGAGCAGAGCAGAGGGCTTTAATCTAGCAGCCACAGAACATGTGCCGGAGGCCTGCTGCGGTGCCCACAGGGCGTTTTCTGGGCAAAAGGCGGGTGACGGATGGCTCTATGCATTGTGCCTTCTCCTGCCCTATATTTTATCAGTACAGTCGGTACACTCACTTGTCCAGTACGCCCTCTTTTGGACAGACCGCGAGGTGTTGGGTGATTTTTACTGTGTTGACAGATATAGAATATCATACTGTATTTCTGGATAAAATAAAGGTTTTACTTTGATAAAATTCTAAACAAAACTTTATCTGAGTACTCAAACACATTTATAGGATAGAAGTGACATTTTCATCATCAACTTCTCATCTGAAACCCCAAATGGACCTGGATATATGATGTCCTTATGGCGGCTGTATCACACACCTGGTATATGTGGAAAGTGAAATGAGACAGTGTGTCTTGAACCACAATACTGTTCTTTGTGTATCGAGTGTCAGTCATTGCTGCGGTCGTGGTTCTCAAGTGAAGACTCTCGCTGACTGAATCCCTGAGCCATGAGCCCACCCCCTGCGCACAAAGGGTGCACTTAACATGGCTACTTGCTACTCAACACCTCATCTGTTTTTTATTTCTATTATAATAAGTTTCCATGTTATTTAAAACTATGGTGTTTCAAGAGTTTTTGTTTAGTTTTGAACCATCTAAATGCTAAGTAAATACAGATATGAACCCATCGTTCCATTTTTGGTGCCTTTGCCTGCAAAGGCTAATGCATGAAGCAGAATCAACAGTAGCAGCCACAAAAGGCTGGCACTACTTCAGTTACAGTCATTTCCAATATCACATAGAGCAAAGATGGTTGGATATAGTGGAACCATTTGTATTGCCAGGGCATCACCTCATTTGTTTAAAACAGAGAAGAGAGATCTTTCATTCAATTAAACTATGGAAAGACTGGTGAGCTAACCCTGGTCTGGGCTCCATGCCAAACAACAGTTTATTGTTTTTTTAACAGAAAAAAATAATAGGTACAACAAGTGAAATCGTCTGGTTTATTGTGACCATTTCAAGGATATGCATGTGTCCTCTCTGGGCTCAGCTCTTATAAATTAGACTGTTGGAATAAAGAGAGAATATTTCTTTGTCGATGTGCTTGTCTGTCCTACTGGGCCCATTTACTTTGGGATCATGTATACTTTCCAATCCTCAATGATCCAGAACTGTCCACTAGACCCACAAAGAAATCTTAAATTGAGTTAAATCTCCTGACTTATCAGCCTCTCCAGAATGCACATAGCAGGATCAGGAACTGCAACATTAACAAAAGCTGTTTTGCATGTGGACAAAGCTTCTTTCTGTCCGACAGTATTCCATTATGGGTTGACTGCGACTGTAGTATATGCGCCTGTAAGGCCAATTCTCTGGCTACCTTTTGTTGTGTGAGCTTTGTGGTCAGCATGGCATCACAGGTTTAAGCCGTGGTGGCCAATGGTATTCTGGGCTACAGAAGCAAGCCAAAAACTTGCTATGTTAACAGACAACAGCAGAAAATAATGGGGAAGACACTGTCGAATAACCAGCCAAGATGGAACCCTCCTTCTTAAGAAAATCTCAAACAGAGCCAATGACGTTAACTAGGATGGCGCTCAACAGGTAAACAACATCATTTAACTATCTTTTGGTTTTATTTATAAATGAATGAGGACAAATGGACAGAGCATTAATGAAAGCAATCTTCACAATAGCTCTAGCTGGCCGCAGCCAGTGTCTGGGTCTGAGCATAATCTAATTTGGATGGGCAAACCCATGTATGCCAAGGATTTACTTTGCAGCCAAAATGCCTTGGTTTGCAATTTCCAGGACAGCAGTCGAAAAGGCGAAGAAAATTGCTTCCAGGGCTGCAGACCAGACAAGATTATATTCAAAGTCTTTGTGAAGCTCTGCTTGAATGGGACCCTGGCGGCACACACACTAAGCACACACATAAGTGAGCGGTGCAACCATGAGAGCCAATAGGTTACAAGGCTGCATCAGTGTAAGCTCTATTTGAATATTTACAGGCTGAGATGTTGGCTATGGGAAAAGGACAATTGTGCTGGTCAATACTGAGAGGGAAGGGCAGAAAGGGCCAGTTCAATAGGTTAATACACTGGCCTTTCACCTTTTGATTCCAGTTAGCCACATGTCAGCACAGGGATATTTTATCTGTTAGCCACAAGGGCATGCATGGGTCTGACCGTTTTAGGTACAGAAGCTAAAGGATTTATTAAAGTTTACAAAACCTTTTCTGTCCACTGTTTTAAAGCAGAAGTTTCTCACCTGATTCTCACCGATCACAATGTGATCATGATTTGGTGACTCTCACCTGTTGTTAAGCACACTGAGTTGCATATATTTGTTCTATACAAATATATTTATTTTGTCTTCCACTTCATAAAGAAAAAAATGTGCACATGATCGTCATACACTATTATTGCAAGGAATAGTTTCAGAAGTTAAAGGGGAAACATTCATGACATACATTGTTTGACAGAGCATTCCTTAACTTGTAAATCACTGCGATGTGTACATAAGTGCTTTTAACAATATTATGAGGCCAAATTTTTACTCTGCTCTCATGCTACTAAAAATACCGAGCATGGTAACTTCCCGCATTTCCTTATTTCCAGGGGAAAAACGTCATAATTGATGCAGACAGGAGTATAATCTAATCTGTTCTGTGGCTGCTTTAACAATACTGAGACTGAACAAAGTATTCTTTTTTCTTCAAACCTAGGGGGTAAATCTAAAAATATAGCAGCAAAGGTCCATGCTTTATATCCCTGACCTAAAATAGCCTACATGGCAAACAGAATAATAAAAGGAAACAATTTAAATGGGTATAAATAAAAACAGATGTACAGTGTATTGACTGAAGGCTGGTACATACTAGGTAAAAGCCTTTACTGAACGATAGGAGCACTGTAAATAATGGAACAAAGTAATTGCCCTCTGCAGACAATAATGCCTTTATATCAATATTTCAAAAAAAGTAAATTGCACAGGGCTTGTAAGAGGTTTTATTGTACGGATGGGATGTAGTAAAATCAGACAAACAAGAAAACATATCTGAAATGTATAAATATTTCAAATCTTTCCTGGTTCAAATCTGAATTGTGCTCTGGGCTCTGTTCTCTTGTGTCACTGGGGCCTGCAGCAAAGATACTTCTGATAAAGGCCTACAATGAACACATTGTAGTCCTCAAAAACGCTTTGTAGAAAAAGATGAATTGATCCATCTGTAAGCAGCACTTAGAGCCACTTCTCTTGCCTGTCATTACACTGGGATAAATCAATATTTAATATCCCCTCTAACAGCCACACTGGATGATCTTAACCTCTCCTTAATCCCATTTATGTTACCTTTCCAGAATCTTCTTCATATAAGCTCTCACTATGATAAACTTCCAAACAAGAGACTGGGAGGGGAGCTATTAAAGACCACCCCATATTTATGTCAGGTGAGGCGCTTTTGTGAAATATTAATATTCTGAAACTGACCAAAGTGAAAGCTTTTATCCAGGGCATTCAAACCGTTCTAGTCCCTTGGCTTGTATCAGCAAAAGCCTCTCTCTCCGTCCCTCTTTCTACGGCTGAATTACAACCCACTGTTCTTTATTGCGGCCGAGAGGATGAGGATGATGGGGCAATTCTTTTAGCTGACTTGATAAAGCGAGCTTCTAATTTCACACCGTTCTAATAGAGCCAATGTCACTGAAACGAAAAGGTGACAATATCTCACCATGATTTGCACGAGCATTCGAGTTGAGGCAGGCGTCACAAGGTGTAAGGCTTCGTTAAGTTGTCATTCAACATACAAGCAATACAAATTACTTTGATCATAAAACACAATTCTATTACGCTTTCAATTATTTGAACCGGCTATAAATTGATACATTTAAACATTTAATGAATTCCTCGCAGTATTTAATGAACAATGCAGAAGGCAATAAAGCATGATAACAAATAGAAAGATATGTATTTAGTGAATTGCGTAATTCTATATGAAAAGCGCTTTATAAATCAAATTTGATCAATTGATTGTGCAATATTCAAATGATAACTGTGTAAGATAAATGGCCATAATTCATTCGTTTCTCCGAGAGGGTTCTATTTTAGAGGTGATCATCTACATAGTTTCATTTGTTCTAAATGGAATATATCCACTCAGCAGTGCCAAAAGTGATTGAAACTTTCTCTACAATAAAACATTGAATTGTACATCAAATTTAAAGATACATCTGAGAATATCAGTTAAAAAAAAGTTAATTTGCTATTACTTCAAATGAGCAAATTTTAATTCCAATTTTACATCCAGAGATTGACAATTACACAAAGCCAAAGACTTTAGGCTGAAGTTAAACACTTATTTTGCCTAAGAATTATTATTTCAAACTGTGTGCATCAATGTGTACCTTTGAATCTTTCTTTATTATTAAATCTAATGAAAAACCAATTATGTTCTGAATCTTATGGTGCCAGTGGGTTGGCACTGTGTTTATTGCCACCTGCAACCAGTGATATCTTCTAAGAACCAAATTAAAGAGAAATCAAAATTACTGTTGATTCACTTTTTTACATATACATTGACCTAGTTGAGGCTGAGGGTTGAAAGTGTCAGGTGCTCAAATATTAATGAGCATCGCTCCCAGTTCCTGCCTGTTCCTCACAGCCAACTGGCAACATGGCATCAAGCTGAAGCGCGGAGGACAGCTTTTTTCTCTCCTTGATTGACTCATCGATTGAAGATATTTTTAAAGGGAAGCCCTGGGAGTGTGTGCTCCTGGTACAAAGCAGTCCCATCCCGTGTCAGGGGACAGAGAGGACTGCTTTAATTGGGCAAAGACTTCAGAGAGTTCTTGGGCCACACCGGGCACAGCCATGGCCTGTCCCGACCCTCGCATCAGCATCATCAACATGGGCCACTCCACGCACTCATACATGCCTCATTTGAATGAACACACATTTATACTCTTCCATGCCAGTACGTATCGATGTGACCACCCTGGACAAGGATTAAAGAAGAGATATTGGTCTTATGACTAATTTGTAGAGCTCTGGTCCACTTTTTGAATCACTCCAGCTACTTTTCTGCTCTAAAAAGAACTTTAATGAAATGTTTGTGGTATGTCCTGTGTGGTTTTGAATTGTCAAAAAGCAAGTGATAATACGCATAAACACAACACACATACTTAAAATAATATAATATAAAATACATTTTAAATAAGAGCAAACCTTGTCTCTGCAGTTATTCAAGCCCACAGAAGCCAGTGCGGACAGCTTTGCCTCCATGCCTTGCTGGTGATGCTGCAGCTGTTCCCTCTGGATCTGCTCTCTCATCTTGCGAGCTTCCTGGATGGCCTTCATCACCGTGTCCTGGTCCCCAAACAATGCTGTCGAGTTTAAACTTGAGAGGATATCTGCACACGGACAAGCAGAAAGAACACGTAAATAATGGCAATCATGAAACTCGTATTAAACCAAAGAAAGTCTTATTAGATTTATAATTCAGATTTGAAAAAGAGCTTACAATGTATACAAGCTGCACATAAATAATGCCTTAAAGCTGATGTACCTAACTTTAAAGATAGCATCACTCAGCCAATCAGCTCTCAGTCCAAAGTTTTGAGGAGGCAAAAGAGAGTATGCTTTCTACTCTATGATAATACTAAATATGAATATAATACATTTACTACAAGACTTTAAATTCTGTAGGGATCATTGTAAATTATTTTTAAAAAGTCAAATGTATAGATAAATGCATAACAGAAGTGAATATAAAACACACCAAGGGAAGAGGCTCGGCCCATGCTAAGCGGGCTAGGGATCCCTGCTTTTCCCAGCAGGCTGTTTGGGCTGGGTTTACTGCCTGGGAACAGGTTTTGTGTTGGGGATGTGGGGGACTTGAGTTCTGTAGTCTTAGTCCGGGCTGACAGGTTGAGCGGCTGTGTTCCTTCCTCCTATGGAAGCAGCAAAGATATGAATGAGACAAAGCAAACATTTCTCCTCCCATAACTCCTCTGATTCCAAGTTTCCCAAATACCTGAAATCTCACATGGCATTTTCCCCTTGTTCAGCAGATTCCTAATATTTGAGTGAACTTAAGGATGTTTGAATTTATAAATTAGGTGAGTGGATTATAGTGAAAGTTGAATAAAACAACAGACACTTTTAAAACGTCATCTTTTGAACAACTTCTTAAATTGTATTGATAGAATCTTTGTGCTGAATTGTACGATCTGGGCCCAGTCTCTCCCTACACCATCCATCCTTTGACAAGGCCTGCTCCACTGTGATTTTCCTCACAGTTGCCCAGTTCCTTTGTTCACACTAATTAAAGCTGATTCCGTCTTTCCGTACGTCTTCATCTGCTCTCTCTCCTGCAGCCTGCAGTCTGCACTCTGCCTCCAAGAATAAATAATGACCAGATAACGCGGGCGCCAGCGATCAAAGACAGCTGTTTCGATCCATGAGACGCTGAGTGACATTATCTACTTCATTAACTTGTACTCTCATTTATATTATTAATGCTGGTGTAAATAATTGTGTGTCTTATTCTATTACGTGTCATGGAAATACATTTTTAACATGATTTGGTTTGAGAAAATTCTTAAAATAAAATGAAGCGATGATGCAAGCGAAAACATCATATTTGTTGTCTCTGGGAAGTAATAGATGTTTAATGTTATATCATAAAAACAACAGCATGTGGATTCAGCTGTTTGTTCAGTGTAAGGCTAGAACTGGCACACAGTGATCAAGGCCTGCCCGGCAAAAGTTGAAGGGAATAGTAGTACCTTGACTTGAGTGATGGGGCTGGAGGAGCTCTTGTCGTTCTTCAGAGAGGAGGGGGAGATGGGCCCGCTAGCATTGAGAGGCTGGGGGAGTGGCGGCATCTTGGCTCCAGGAGAGACCTGCATGTTGGCAAGCTGGGCGGCATACAGTTGCTGTAGGGAGGTAGACAGACCCAAAGGCGTTAACTTCCAAATCCAGCAAACATTTTGAGTTTTATATTATGTTTTTCCCCTCTTTAGATCTGAGTGTGTGCCTTCATTTGTTGGCAGAGCACCTCCATCAAAAGTCTTAACTGTATTTCACAGAACTCAGAAAGAGAGACAGCAGTTTTAAAAACCACACAGACATGGCATTCATTCAAAATACTTTGAGCCCCTATTTTCCACTCATCACAGAGAAAAGTTTGTCGACTGCAAGTGTGTGAGCAAAGATCTTGTTTCTCCATATCAACACAGCTTCTACTGTGAAGTGTCTGGCCTGTCATTTGTCTCCACACAGTTCAAGTCCACAATGCGAACCCCACTTCAGCTGGATGCCACTCACAGAACAAGTTTAAATGTAGTATTATCAAGACTCAGTGTAATCAGGGATTTTTTCATTGGCATTAAATCAGTAAACAAATCCAGATTTATAGATGCAAATATATATTTAACATTGAGTACAAGACCAAACATCTGTACAGCATATTTTCTGCATTTTGTGCATAATAATAATGTGTGTCTTTTAATTGATAAATAGTAGGCCTTAGCTGGCTTCCATGGAAATTTAGAAATAAAAAGTAAACTGTATGTTCTGCATCAATGCTGTGGTACAAAAGCCCCTATTCTTCCAGACAACATGAGGATAACAACTGCACATAGGCAGAGGAAATGACAGACTGATTAAGTTCCCAAATGACAGCGCAGCCCCCACCTCACCCACAAGTGGCCTTTTGTCTGATGGACTCCACACAGGAGCAGACCAACTTCATTTTCCTCTAATCGGAGCAGAGTTAATGTGAGCAGTTAACATGTGTGTTTTACAGACACCACTGACAAAGAGGAAGTCTGCAGACCTGTTTGTCACTGTCTGGCCCCAGTCTGTTGTACAGATGTTTGCTAACACACTGTCGACAAGCATGGCCCTGACCTTGAGTGGGAAGAACTTTATTGTCTCGGAAAAAGAGCATAATTAGACTTTACCTCAAATTAGAGGCAGCCAGGGTGCCCTTTTTCACCACTGATTAGCAGGTCAGAGCCATGGGGTGAGAATAGTTACCCTTGTAACAAGGAGCAGACTGCCTCCACAAGTAAAGAACAATAAATATAATCAGAGGGAAGTCTGATGAAAGGTGTTTTAACCTGTAACACATTGCCAAAGAACACACAAAAAGCCCATATGGGAACTACAAGGGCTTTATGTGGAATCAAACAAAGTCACACAAATGACACAGTGGAACTGTATACCAACACTGGCATACAAGATCACAAAACACAGGAAGTATAAATATAGGTGGGATTACAAGCCAAAGGATGAGGATAATGTGGCCTCCTTAAGGAGGCAGCTGCTGTTGGCTTTCTACAAAGACTTTGGACTGTTGTCTCACCAGACAGGGGAAACAAAAAAGTTTTGATATTGTTCATTATAAACAATTATTCATTATCCTCATTTGTGAAGTACTTTTATTAATCTTTGTTGTGTAGTTGTCCATGTCCGTCTGTCTGACTCTACAACTTTCTTTGAGCTATGCTTTTAGACTTCGTTATCAATACATTTTTATTTAAGTTCATCTTCTATATAGTTGGTATAATCTTAATTTTTTTAATTATGGATCACTTGACAAAATTATAACTTTTATTTAACATGGGTGCCAACTGAGAATCACTTTAATACATACATTATTAGATGTATTGATGATAAGGTTTACATTATATTATTATTAACTATAAACATCCGTAATACAACTCTTATTTGTTAACTGAATAAGACTTTGTGTTAGTTCTGTTATAAAGTATTCAGCCTGTCGGTGTCTCATTCACCTCTGTTTGGCCCAGTGTGGAGCTCTCAGATGAATATGAGGGTATTAATTGTGCTTCACTGCACCACACCATTTAAGAAGCCGCCCATGCGCCAGCCCCGTTTGCCACAAGGCTTGTACAGGCTCATTGCCCAGGGCGACTAAGCAGGCTGACCCAGGCGAGGCCCAGATGTCAGGATTGGAGGAAGGCGTCCTGGTGCACTGTGCCGAAGCTTTCCAGTATGCCCCAACATCTGTCTCATGTGCTGGCAACCAACCTGGTCTGTTCCGGCCCCTCCCCCATCCTCAGGCTCCACAATGTTTTCACTCTTTAATAGTTGGATCTTGCACTTTCTGACAGTGCGTTCTCACTGACACAAACGCAGGCCGTGATGTGAGTGAGTGTCTGGGATCTTGGGATCTTGGGACTCCGGAGCCAGCACTCCCATTCTATGCTGCTTACTGCATTATCCACTCTATCTGTCCATCTGTCCCTCTGTTCACCGCTGCCTCCTCACAGCTGCTCACCTCGCCGTCCTATTAGCCAGGCTTCTACGCACCACGAGTGAGGCTGCCCAGCGCTGGGTTACCTTCAAAGACCGGACTCCTCTGCTCATAAACACAGAAACAGCTGCTCTGCAGTTCGTCTGTTCTAGCTTTTCTTCCCTCCTCCTGTCGCTCTGTCTTTCTCTTTCAAAGTCACAACTTATTCATGGTTTAATGATGGGATTTACACATCTGTACACGGGTTTCCCTACACGTTTCAACATCTGTGGTCTTCCATGGCAGTTAAGGTGACGATGAAGGTGAATAGGATCTACATTTAAACAATTTGTGTAAAAAGTTTTACTTTGTAACAGAAAAAGATGCAGCTAGTTCTGGATCGTGCCTTTTATTTTAATTAGCTTGTGTTGGTTGTAACAACACAAACAAATGCCATTGTCAAATTAAGAATGGCCTCCTCTTGTGTTCAGCAAATTGCTCATTGTAGGTGTCTACATAAATTGTGTAACAATCTGAGCACAATTTCCTGTGTTAGGTGAGAGGTGTCACTTGTAATCAGGGAAGGACAGGCCAGAATGGAGCCATTGTTTCCTGCTGGCCCTGGCCTCATCCCAGCTCAGTGTGGGCACTAATGAAGAGGGGCATGTCGAGCTGGGATAGTTTACGCGTCTCCTCTCCTGTGAGTTGAGAATGAGAACCAATCTGTCAGGAAAACATTGAGTGAAATTGCCCTGTGGTACAGCAATGCCTGGTGACAGCCACTTGCTGACTGCCAGTGGAGTGATGCTACCACCTTGTATTGACAAGCAAATTACAGTCCCCAGCACTGAAACGCATCCACAAGAATTCATTTACATCCATCAGCTTCAGGCCTTTGTTACCTTGTTGGTTTTTCTTCTCTTGAAGAGAAAGAGGGGAGGCCTTAGACAGAGAAATTGTGAGGGGGCTATGTGGTCGACATTAGGACTGACAGAGCTGCTCGCCTCTCCGACTGGATGGCTGATCACATTACCTTGGCTGCATTGTGGGAATTAGTTCTTCCAACAAGGTTATTTTAAGGTTCATATATTGCACAATCTAAATGGAGTGAATCTATGAAAATTATACCTTGCCATCACAGTGACGGGAGATATTTTAATTATGGTGGCAGAGACCATTTCTGTGTAAATGTGTGTAGGGGACTTGATATATTAATGATAATACTGGATTTTTAGATCGTTGTGATGATACATTGAGCTAAATACTTCAAATACTCACTATAAACATTCACAGATTTAATTACCTTATAGAGGATAGCTATTAGAACCACTTTTGTAAAATAATACCACCAAAGAAGTCTGTTTTTTTCATGTAATTGTAAGCACACTACATAATGTCTGCTTTAAAATTAACCCCTTTTCTTCCTTATATACCTCTCAATCATTATGCGCTAATGGAGGGTTCTGGTGCTATTATTGCTCTGGAGGGAGGAGACAAGTCTAACTTTAATTCCACGTCTAGGTTGATACGTGGTTTTTAATCTTGACGGTCTCTGAGTGCTTTGTAGAGGAAGAGGTAGTAGTCCCATGTGAGTAGAAAAGGGCATGTTTGACTTGCCTTGCTGTTTTAAGGGGACTCTCTATGCAAGGTAAATAGCAGCCAGCAGGCAGAAATGTGACAAGATGACAGACTTCAATTAATGTTGAAATGCACCTCTTTTTATTTACGGCGTTCTCTATAAAGGTCGGCCAAGTCATGGACCTGGTTGCACTGTTTTTGCCCGTTCCCAGGGTTGGATACATCATCATAATTAATCGTTCCAATCCGTCTCCCCCTCCCCACCCTAACCTTTAGATATATGGCTGTCTTATCTGACCTAATACACAAAAATAGACTTGGTGTGCGTGTCTTGAACTGCTGCTCAGAGATACCTAAACATAAAAACTCTGCTTGAGAAAACTCATTGAGTACCTCGCAGGCTTGTGATAGCTCCTCTCATGTCGGCAGAAAATACAGAACCAGCTGCATTGTCACAACTTGCCAAGGCTTGTTAACACTGGAGTGGGAAGGACAAATGCCACATATATCACAGAGCGCTGTTTTTCTCTTTCAGCCACTGTTATTGTTGTTCTATGTTGACTGACTTTTCTGTTTGTTGACAAAGCAGTGGCAAACACCAACCATAAATCTGAAATAGTTTCTAGATATCAAATCCATGGGAATGATATGAAGGTTCTTTATAATATATTGGATACAACACTTATTTATTATTTAAAGGCTCATCTATCGCATTAGTAGGGTAGAATCTTGGCACAGGCGGCCATTTTTGAATAATACTCAATAAGAGAATCTGATAAATAACTTTATTAAAGAGTATGGCCTCGGGTTATGCCCTGACCTGAGTTCAGCTTTTTTAATTGCATGTGAGAAAAGTCTTGGAGGAGCCTGTAGGGCGTAAAGCATATTTCAACCTGCGTTAATACATACAGTTTAAAACCACACCCATAACTTAGTATGTACTCCAGTACTTTTGATTGGAAAAACTGAAATGTCAACACGTAAAAAGAAAGAATAGGAAGAAAATGAAGCGGTCTGAGCAGAATGAGACATAAAGAGGCTGTGATTCTTAGCTTGAAGAGCCAAGTGCGTCCTGATAAATGTGCTTGCAAATGATTAAGGTAACCAAAGTGATTCCCATTACCTTTAATAACTATTATCTTTCCAACGTTGTCTGGTGGCGCAAGAGGGGATAAATCCTCTATAAAATGGGATGAATTACATATGTGTGGTGATGAGCGTGCGTGAGCTGGGAGTTCCTGGATTATTTAGTGTGCGCCTCATTACTTAACGTACAGCTGCTTAGCCCTATTACCGCCCTGGGCTTGGCGGGCGTCCCTTGCATTCTTTGTCATAGTACTGTACATACCTGAAGCTGGAGGGGGCTGAGTCCTGACGCTGCTGCAGCTGCCATTGTGGATGGAATGAACTGCACTGGGTAGTTATCACCTGTCAAAGAGAGGAACAACAATGCTTACAGGTTCAGACAATGCGCCGACCCACAGCCACCAGGCAAGTGCCAGCATGGATCTCAGGCTGTCCAAAGTGTAGCGCTGTGGCATAGCACAACAAGATCTCCAACATCTGCGTTAACAAAAGACTGAGCCTGTCTGACAAGGATTATATCGAATTGAAAGCGCTATTAGTCTATACATGTTGATATGGTTGCACAATGAACTTATAGTGGTAGTATGTCTGTTGTATTCAAAATGTCATTACATGAAATGAGCACTGTGTACTCTCATAAACCTTGACTCTCCTGGCCATTGTTCAACATCACATTGTTCCTGAGTGAGATTTTGGCAGTAGATTGAAAACACTTGTGGAGACGACTAGTTACAACAAGTGTGCAGCCGCAATAACAAGAGTGAAGGAGTGAAACCATCAGCCTATCAGCTCGCATATCACGACGATCAAGCAATAAAAAATAGTCTCTAAATAGCAGCACTATTCATTACAATTCACTACTGTTGGCCTGCCATCAGCACATTTGTCACACAGGGATATAAAAATGGCTGCTGTGTGAGTGATATTCACAAGGGTGTTTAACTGACTACCAGAGGCTTTCACACACTCGGCCCAGTGTGTAGAGTCGGACGGGGCAGCCCTAGACGGGTACATGTGTCTGAGGGAGGAAGGGCGAGGGGGAGGGGGAGACTTGGCCGCGCTCACACCCCACTTCTGCATGTCACTTCTCTTCTCAAACATATGGAGCCATTAAGAGCAAGACAGGCTAAATGTATACACCTTCTCTTTCACTTTGCCCTCGCCGTCTTGCCTCTCTTTACAATCTTGTACAGCACAGCACAATGTGATACAGGCTGTGGAAATTCAATCCTCCATTTAGTAGCAAACAAAATCACACAGGAGTGCTGGTTTCAAATAGTGCTGGCCTGTATGCACTGTGGTTATTTCTACGCCTCCTCTTTTTGGTATCACTTTCCTTCTGTCTCTGTCTGTGATGTAGAATGGTAATAAATGGCTGGGTGTCTTTAGATGTTATGTGAAACCTTGAGGGGTCATGTGCTAAGTGAGGGCGCCCACAGTGCTGGGGTCCTGCACTTCAGATGGGGCGCGACTGCAGGGGAACCGGCAACAGACCGCTTCAGCTGTTCAGTGCTTTTGTTAAATGGAATATATTTTTTATTCTTGGCATAATTCTCCACTTATTAAGAAATGGGTTGCTGCTGACCAGACAAATGTAACAGTACATGGGTCACAACAAGCTACATTTCTTTACTCATGTGGGGCCATGTAATATAAGTCTTATATTTGCAGGGAGTTGACAGACGTAGCAGTGACCTTTTCTTGAGTAGATCAAGTGATGATGAATGTCCTCCTTGACTACAATTCCCACACTTGATCTTGTCCTGGGCCTGGTTTTGAAATCACAGTGCTTACTATTCCCCATATACAAAGCAAACGTAAAAAAATAAACATTATAAGTATCTTCACATTATCTTTGGACAGCGGAGGCTCAATGTCCATCCGTCTTTAATGCTTCCATTTGGAGGCAATCTAAGTAAACAGAAGTCCATTTCATGTCTATTTGTTTAAAAGATGAGTGGCTGTTTCTATCGCTGTGCTTGTCTACCATGCAACACCAGGTCATTGAGCACAGAAGGTGGATGGGCTGATGACTTAACTCTACGGTGCAAGAATGACTGTGTTTCCATGTGAACACCACAGGGCCACTGCCTAAAGATGCGGTCCCTGGGAGACGTATCATAATTTTAATATCAGATTAGAGTGTATTAAACTTGGAGTGAATGCTTGGCCACTCACTTCATGAAGAAAAACGCAGCGGCTTATTGTTCCCTCTGCAGGTGGCTGTAACATCGTCTGGTAAATGTGCGGCCAAGGTTTCTCAAATACCTTGTGTGAAGAGTCATTTTCAGACCCCTTCTGGTATTTCATTGTGAGCTCATGAATAATACACCAGCCGTACACAGGACGACCCCTGACCATGATTCCATAATAGCTCCTGTTATTTGAACTAAAACATTTTTCGTGTCAATCCTATTTCATAAAGCGCACTGGTAAAAGACTCCCCCTCAGGCACTTTGTTTAAGCTGTCATGCCTCCACAATTCCAAAAGAGCTGACTTTCTTTTTTCACTGTGTGGTTATATAGTTAATTCATTAACTGCTCAACCACTCCTTTTCATATTTTTTTGCTGTAAGCCCGTTGAATTCTTTGTGTTTCTCCTTCCTGACAGCGTGCCAATTTTCACACAATGAAAAGTTATGTAAAAAAAACAAAAACAAAATAGATCTACAAAAGTGTCACATTTCAGGTGAAACATATGCTCTACAGAAAAACATATTGAGTGCGTGACTTTTTTAGGCAGGCATTTGATGAGGAATTCTTGACTGAAAAGACAAAGGAGAAGCATGTTGGTACAAGAACTACAGTAAATGCAGTCCCTGAAACGTTGTCTGTTTTTTACCATTATAATTTGATTATCCCTTAATTATATAATTTCTCTATTAAATAAAATTGCTTTGCGTGTCATGGGGATGCACATCCACGGTTGTGTAATGCAATCAGATGTCTCCTATACGTACAGTACAAGGTGCACACATTCACCTGCAGTTCCATTAATTGGTTAAATTTAAAGTAATTTTGTTCCACATGTTTGCCCTCATTTGGCTTTATTCTCTTTCAGAACATATACAATATAATACAGACATATATTTTTTTTAATATAATTTTGGACATGGGAAAGCGGGGGGTAAGGGGGGTACTTCGGCCCAGTGTATATAGCTAGGAATTTATTTGAAAAGTTTGAGAACCACTGATTGTTGAATTATTGTTTACATTCCTACCTGCACAAGGTTGACCTGCATGTCTCGTCTGCAGATATAAGTAAAGACAGGGCACTCCATGCCACTGTTAATCATCTTTTTCACAGCTTGTTATACTCCACTTAAAATCAAATGTACATGTAGAGTCTGAGAACATACCTGGCTTGTAAGACATTCCTGGGGGGAAGAGAAATCCTTGCTGGGCAGCGGCTGCGGCTGCCAGAGTGCGCTGGTCGTGTGGAAAAATGGGGATCATGAGTGGAGGCATGTGACCCTGGACCTGCTGAACAGATAGGAGCAGAGATCAGAGAGAGGCCTAAGCATCGGCATGATACAGAGAAACACAGGCATCTCCACGGGAATCCAGATCACAGCTCTGTGTAACGCGTGTTGACAGGAACTCTGCGCTAGCGACGGCCCTCGTGTGCGCACACAATAGCTTAATCTGGACCACAATTTTACCTGGGGACATCAAAGGCTCAACAAACACATTGTAGCAGTTAGGTTAAATGAAATGACATGGCAGGACAGAGGAGTTATACGTATCTGGCTACCATTGAGATATACGGTACTTACAAAGGCATTTGTCCTGGCTCTTAAACTCAATCGGACATGTCAGCAGAGGATTGTTGAATGCATTACACAGGTGCAGCAACAGGAGCGATTATCATGTACATGCATGCACAGTCACCTCGGGGAAAGTTCACGCGCTCACATAATCGCAAAGATCATTTATACCGGTGATAAAGCCTAAAGACAATGTGGTAATTTATGCAAGCTATTTTCAGCATGAGAGTATGAAGCGGGAGTGCTTATTGCCCGCTGTATTTCATTTTGATGTCATTCTCTGTCCCTTCTACTCACAGATTAACCTTCACCATCGTGCCTGTCGCTGACTAGGAGCCTATTGGGAATATTGTGAGTTCAACAGTGGCTCACGTTTTTTCAAAAGTACTTTTCGCACACATGTTGCGCTGGCCAATCATACTGTCATTGCCTGCTTCCTGAAAGTCAATGATGAGGAGCAGGACGCGCAAGGGTTAATCCAGCACCAGGCCAGGAAAACCTCAAGGGAACCAGTCTGGAAAATGGGTTAATAAAGGTCATCCCCCAAAATAAACACTTTACAGAATGTCTCTTCATTCATTCCTCTTTAAAATCAACTTGCAATAAAAAGGGTCTGGGTGCAATTACTGCTGCTGCATTGGGGCATGAAATCAACCTGTGCAGATCTGCTCCTGCCCCCACAATGCTCTTGGCTGAGGGCTGTTATACCATCCAGCCCCCCCTTTCTACTCCCCATACCAGGTGCACCCCAGTTTTTGACATCAAGAACTCCAAACAACATTATTGATCTGTCAAGAGGTGCAAAGCTCAACCAGAAAATAAATATCATCATTTAGTGAGCCTAAAAGTGCAGAAAGTGCATTGTATGAGAAACGAAAAAAGTGTGTAGGAAAAATATATCTGTAAAATGCGCTTATCTCAGGACAAAAATAAAAGCTCAGAAATGTGCAGTAAATGATGTTAAATAAACTAATGGTTTATTGGGGATTTGGGCTCTGTGTTTGCGGCTGAAAGGATGAAAGATCGCTTTTGGCCTTGCATGTATGGAACATATGGAAAAACACAATAATTAAATAATAAACAACATGAGGTAGGGCCAGTGACAGGCGGGGGACACAGGGGAACACAGCGTTTCTCTGTCTCTGTATTTGGACTGTAAAACCAGATGGAGTCTGCAGCTGAATGTGGCAGTCAAAGGGCGCAGCAGTGAGTGGCTAATCTTAAGCACCACGCACCAGCACTAAATAACACGGTTAGAAAAATATGCCTGTAAAGAATAGTCATTATTTAGCAACAAAACACCACTACAAATATTTGCATGGGTTTTACTGCCTTTCTGTCACTGAAGTATATATTACTGCGTCCCTTGTTGATAAACCGTTGTTCGCTGGATTTTATGAATCTATACAAACATAAATAAAATGCATTAAATTGTCCAAAATATTTTTTATAGCCTACAGTAATTATGTATTGATGCTTTAATTAAATGGTTTCAGATTTATAAAGTGGTGTAATTAATTATAACGTTTTAATTAATCAGGACAAATAACACTTTCAGAGGGAAAATGGCTGCTTGAAAGAATGTGGGTCATTATTGATTGCATTTTCTGTGGATGTCCATGATAGTCAAAAATACAAAGATACATTTCCATGAACCTTAGCTAATAAAAAGTAAAGGGAAATGTATAAAATAAAGTCCTTTCAGTAAGAAGAGGTAAGGCTTTCTACATGAATAAAAGTTAACTTGAGGTGGCTGAATACAGGCTAAGTGCCAAGGATGTTTCTAGTGCAGGCCAGTATTGAGTCGGAAAGTGAAGTGGAGCAGATGTGAGTGAGAGTCCTTCCTTCCTCTCGTAAATACAGCCGCATTGTGGCACTGGCACTGCTCTGCCTTTGTCTTAGCATTGCTAAGTACTGGATAATGTCATTTCACACCATCTGCCCGCAGGCTTCATTAAAGATACATGAATGGGCGATCTTATGAGGAACAGGTGCTATTGTTTGTCCCCCAAGACCCAGCGCTAAGAATCTGACTCAGAATACTTGAAGAGGAGCATCTGTAGTGATCAGTCAGACAGACTTGGCCCTGGCCCCTGCTCCACAGCACACGCACCAACAGAGGTTTCCGGGGATCTTGGCGTCTTTACAACATGTATCATCAATTCATACGGCCTGATGAAGCCTAGTTGATGAAGCCAGCAATCTGTTTAACTTGTAAACCAAGCCTGGACTAAATACATTGTACCTAAAGTATAACAATTATATCACTTAAAGAGAAAAATCTTCAAAAGTACTGTACATGTGTTTTCTGCTCTGTAGGAATATAGGATAGAATAAGTGCTATAATCAGTGGGGCATAGAGACAGAGATCATAAAAAGATGTTGTCAAGGCTGAGCTGTGCTTCTGTTGCTGCTGCGGGTTTCGAGACCCCTGCTGGTTCTTCTTCTGAAGTAACAAACTGCATCCTGAAATACAATTCAAAAATACAGTCCCTACACAAGAGACAAAATGAACAGCTGCCTCTTCTTTTCATCCAAAAAGAGTTTATGTCTAATATCCACATGAATATACTTGACACCTGTTTCACCTCTCTCTGCTGCTTGTTACTGATACAATTACAAACAAAATCCATGCAACTGAAGCATCCAGAACGTTGTGTTATTGTCGGCAATTTACATAAAATAATCCTCTTTGACTGATCCTTATTTTTTGAATCCCACACTATAGACGTCTAGTTGTAAGAACTTTCATTTTCACAGAAATGTTTTTTTTGAATGTTTCACACCATGAGAGGAAGCTCCAGCTGTTGCTCTAGGATCTGATACTTCACTTATTTTTCCTCACTCCATTGCACTGCAGCACCACACTGCTGCAACCGGAATCACCTTTTAATGAACACAGCTAAATCGTATATGCCACCAGACAGTTATACGGTGAAGGTAGGTGGTAATGAACTAAATAACAAAAAAAGTATATTTATAATTACCCTACAGCACCTGTCATGTTAATAACAAACTAATCTTAACAAACGCACTCCCGCATTCCAGCAGAAACTCCAGACACATTGCAAAACTTCAAATCACTGCCCAAAACTACCATTTATCTCTGTTCTGTTCTTGTATTGAATTTGACTTTGAGAGCCCCAAAAGAGTCATATATTGTATCAACAACTCCACACCAACAACTCCTCACTGCCACACTGCGTTTGAAGCGAGCCCACAAGGACATTATTACATAAAGACACTAACATTATCATTTTTGTCAATAGTTACTCTAAGCTACATTCAGACGGCACCACATCCTATGGCACACTTATACTTTGATCCAACAGCAGTGTGATGTGGTATGGATCTGTCTGTGGCTAATGGTAATCAGACGAGCCGATCAATAGATTTAAAGCAGACTTTGATGCTTCAGACTTGTGGCGCTAAATGAAAGTCTTTGTACGCCACCAACTAGACTGAAGTATCCAGCTGTATTATACCTGACTGTCTACTGGAGAGGAAGGAAGGACATGGACAATGGAGAGGTGTAGGTCAGAAACAAAAAGGCCCTTGTGCAGATAGTGTCTGACCTTTCTTCTTTTTTGCAGCATACAATTTAGTTTAAGAATGATTAGTAGGTAAGTAAGTAAGTCCATCCTTGGAAAATAACAAAATAGTATGATTTAAAGCTTGTGTGTTACAAAATGTACCCTATTCAAAGTCGTACTTATAAAAAATATAGTTTGTCATAGTTTTGTGTGGCTGCTTTGAGACTTAAAAGTAGACACAGGAGTTGGGTTGTTCCTTAAGGACGAACCAATAGACGACTTTGTGTATCACTAATTCCTTACACAGTAAAACAAGCCTCCTTGGAAAAGAGCCACTGCAATATGTCTATATTAAGTCGGGAGCTTGAAAGGGGGGACAGTCCAGCCCTCTCACCCGCCTCACTTAAAACCGTCAAACCAATCCTCCAAGCATCACTCCTTTCTCTGGAATTTCTGGGTAAAACTAATGTATGTTCAAAAACACTTCTTAGAATTGAAAGCATGAAGATAAAATGAACAAGTGAAATATATAATTAAATTAAAGAATAAAATTAGCAACGACTGATGAGTGTATGAAAATAGAAAGCTACAATGCTCCACTATTAGAGCAATCATACACGAGCCTTGACTGGAGCGGACCAGAGGTAAGTGAAGCCTGAGCCCTTATATGCAGGGGGCGAGGCAGATACCAAAGAACATTGGACACGGCTGATTCCGATGCAGAGACTGTGGCATGTTTGGCTTAAGAAATTATAGTGTTCAAACAAGCATGACATAGTGTTTTTATTGTTTAAGCCACAACCTGAAATGTGTATGTACTTAGATTCAGTTCTAAAATCACCATCGTGAAAACCAAAGTGAGAATATGCTTTGATTGAGTGGCATACGTCAGCTGCGTTCAACTACTCTGACTAAACTCACTCATTGAATTTCACTCAGTTATTTTAGGATCAAAATAATATTATAACATTTGTGATTTAAATTGAGTTTTTCCTCTGGGAAATGCCCTGACTCTCTCTCATAGTAATAACAAAACACTCCTTATTGAGCTCTGGCCTGGAGCTGAATATTTTGCGTGGCCAGGGGTGGCCTAAGCAAACATGCGTCTGCACAGTGCGGTTGTGTTTCCCTCTGAGAGTGCCTACCGCGGAGGAGGACAGCCGCCCAGGCAAGTGCAAAGACAAAACAGTTTGCAGAGAACATTAACAGAGAAAACACACATTGGAGGTTGGAGGGAGAGACTAAATCAACAACAGACCACAGGCCGAGTTGTGTTTAAGTAATGTGGCCATATCAATACAGTGCAAAGGAGAGTATTTCCTAACCATGTGTACAGGGACTATTAGGGCTGTTGGGGTTCACTCACTCTCTGCAGGGGTATGGGGGAAGTAAAACATTCAACTCCTATGGACAATTGGACAACAATGTCTGATTGACTAGAAATACTACTAAAGTGGAAGGAAGAAGCAGAACAAAAATAGAATACGTTGTCTTATTCTTTACTGGTGACGGCAGAGGAGGATTCTTAAATTTGAACTTATAATTTATCCTGCCAAACTCCAAAAGCCTAATAAAAAGCAGTGTGTTAAATTTAGACAGCAGAAAAATATCCTGATTTGAAAGAAAATCACCCTCCAAATCCAACAATACAGTCACGTTTAACTTGTTAAGCTGCGTTTTACTGGGCCAATATTTGTACGGATTATATTAAATTCAATGATCACTGGAGTCGAGGTAGTGTCCATTACGAATCTTTACCTAACATTAAAAGAGTGCGTCTGCTTCTCTTTATTAATGCACAACTTTATTAAACATCAGCATTTCTTCCTTGCCTCTTGACAAGCAATCCTATTTCATAACTAATTAAATGTACCCCCCTCTCCTCCCAACAATCAGGGCCACTAAACAAAATTATTATGATCCAAGTGTCAATATATTAAATCACAGGGGCTAATGAGTCAGGTCATGGCTTCCCTTTATCTTCGGTCTTGCATGTGCACATCTTCATCAGCTAACAGTCTTTTCAAATGGACCGAGCCTGCCTGGGTGGGAGCCAAGCCTCGTCTGACTGGGCTGGTAATACCCCACATAATCCTGCTCCAGCGCCTTCCACACGCGGGGACAGAGCTGGCGGCAATTCACAACCGCCTCAGACACACACACACACACACACACGCGCGCGCACGCATTACAATTACAATATCCCCTCCTCTGTTATTCTCTTATTATCCAGCTAACAGTTCCAATCAAGCCACGCTAATTAGGGGACTTACACATTCTCTTTAACAATATCTACTTTTTGAGGCTTTTTTTGTTGCCAGCGCGTTAATAAGAGGCTCATACTGTGAAAATCATTTGTGCCGGGAAACAACAAAAGCATCACAGAACACACAAATTAGCCCGGTTATCTTTGTGCAATTACCACGCTGCTCTGTTGGTTTAAACGCAGCCGGGCGGTTTTAAATATTTAACATGCGGTTAGGATGTGTGGGTCTCTTTACAGTTTATGGATTTACTTAGAAAATATCATCAGGGTTCATACACAAATATTGATGAATGAATTTAACCCATTATGGTTGAACATTTCATTTAGAGGATGCAGAGTTGGCCTACTACCACTGGGGGCAATCTCATTTTAACTCAGTATTTGCATTTTTAGTTGAAACAGAAAATGCAACTGTGACAAATGTCATGAAAAAACATTATTGTACAAAAAAGAACATCATGATGAAGAGAAAGACAAAAAAAATGCTGCACTTTATGAGATTAAAAGTGTCAAGGAAGAGCAAACATTGAGAAAACAGTGCTCAACAACGGCCTCCACAGAAAGTTGTTATCCGTCACCACTTGGTTCTTTATGTACTCGGAGGTGACACATCAATGCCACAGCTCTCGATAAAGAACTGTTTTATCATATTGTAATAATAAAAATCAAATAAAATTGCTCCTCTGTTTCATCTTGGCAGCACGGCATTCTCCAGCTGTTTGTGAAGATAAAGTTCACCGTGACCTTTCAGCCGATATTTATTCTCTTGATGTGAGTCTCCATGTGGAGGTTCCTGTGAAGATACTGTAAGGCTCTGGGTTCCCCTCTAAGAAACCACAGCTATGATCTGAATAACCTAAAGGTTTCAATAAAGACACGCTTCCAACCACTGTGGTTGATAAATATGTTTAACTGTGACAAACTCAGAAGTCAAAATTTCAAATACATTTACTCAAAACCTAATCTCATCCAGGGATTTAACAAGTGCCAGCACCATTTCTAAGATGGACTAAATAAAAACAAACAAGCTGAGCAGAAACACACAAAGCCTAAGGCTTTGATAAGCGCCCACCACTGCAATCAAAACATCTGCTATCTTAAGACAAGTGACATTGTAATCCGGGAGGACAAAGAGTAAATCTCTCTTTCTTGTGAAAGTGATGTGGAAGGATAAATGATGGCGAGCTCTCAATAGAAGAACTTAATTAAACTGCAATTTCCCGCTTGCAAACATTTTAACAACAGCCTTTCTTTTGAAGCCTCTCTTTTGAACACCTCATAAGTCATTACAGGGCAACAACAGTCTCAAGTTCCACCCCCAATAGTTTTACAGACTTTTACCGTTTGGACAGTGACCACTGATGTCCACAGTAATATCACCAGTTAGCTTCCCTCGCATGAGGCCACAGGCTCTTAAACCGGGCTTTTCTCCCTCCAGCCAAAACAGATAGACTTTGATGGTCAGAAGGGCCCTAAATAAGGATTAGTGTTCCTCTCAGTAACAGACACAAACGCACAGGCTAAATAAATCTGTTTCAGATTAAGCACATTTTGCACAACAGCCAATACTAACACAGAAAAATCAGATTGTAAGTGTTATTGCTGAACAAAATAAAAGAAGAGTGGTTGAGCTTAGAAATATGATCAATGTAAAAGTATCTTTATCAGTGATGAAGGAAGGAGATGTGGAACTGCAGTACTCTTGTGGGATTGTTGAGCTTGTTGGGAAAGACAAAAATAATAGCTCTGAAATGGGAGTAGTCTGTAAGAACAACGAGAGGAGGCAGCGGAGAGGGATGTGCCTGACACGGAGCACAGCAACAGGATAACGTGGGCTTCACTCAGGCATCCAGCCTCAGCCTTGACCACTGCCAGTGACCGCTCCGGCAATACTGCGCACAACCAGACCACGTCCAGCTATGTCCTGCCTGGGTGGTCTTATTTTGGCTCAGCGTAGCATCAACAACACTAATAACAGAACTTAAGAGAGCAACAATGCGAGCCAAATATTCAAAAGCATGCAGGGTAGAGAGTAAGTAGGTTGCTATGTAAGCCTTATGGGACTGCTGGGTTTCAGAGGCATTTACCAGCCTCTTTCATGTCCCCCACCTACAAGCTCCTCCTCATTAACACTACTCATTAGCTCTTGTTACTTTTCCCCCTTTTTTGTTCATTAAGACGTGGTAATTATTCCCCCTCCATATTTTAAACCAGTGCGATTACCAACAGGTAATTAACATTTGATGAGTGTTGAATGGTAGATTGACGTGAAATTAAAGAAAAGATTAGAAGAACCGTTGCAAACAGAAGTTGGTAATGGCGAGCGCTTTAAAGTTTAATTGTATTGATCTTAGTAACAGTAGGTGTACACTAATTACACTAGGGAGAAAGTGTGTGGTAAACATAAAAAACGGGGAAATGTTCCCAGTCTACAGAAACACAGTCACTGACCTGGATCTGCTGTTGGAGGAGGTTGATTTTGTGCTGCTGCTGCAAAAGCTGCTGCTGTTGTCTTGCAATCTGGACAGAAAAATAATAATCTTGGTTACAAAACTGAGAACATATAGACGTTTTAATTAGATACAGAAAATCTTCAGTACTTTTGCAAAATGTCATGTAAATGGTCAGGTCTATATTACGACTAAAGTGATAATCAATTAATCTAAGGGTATTCTTTCTAATAATCAATTCAATGTTCACAATTTACACAATTCCACCTTATGTTTCTCACTCATAACATCTCTCAACAAATAAGTTCAATTTCAATGTATTTTAGTATAGCCCTAAATCGGAAAAGCAGCCGTCTCAAACAATTTTACAAAGTTGTTGATTCCTCAAAAACAGATCGGAGAATCGGTTCGTAAACAAAAATGCAATAATCACAAACATATAGGATCCATTGATTCATAAGGAGTGGGATGACCAATGTCCATAAATGATAATAAATGTCCTTAAAGGTCCTAAAATGTGTACATCTCTCAGTGAATGAATGTGTTGAAGTACTTAATTATTTAAAGAACTCAATTAGTTGCATTTAGCGTTATTTGTTGCAGCTCTAAACGTACGAGTAACTAAAATGTGAGTGAACTAACACAAGCCCTGCAGCAGGAGACGTTACTGGAGTATCTATAGATCCACTTAGCTGCTCTTCCCCGCTGTCCCTCCTACTACATACCACTTCATTGAGCGTGACAACCCGGTTTTAAGTGTGATTTAATTTCTCATTTTTAAATATAATTACAAAGTGTTCACTGTAAGATACCAGTCGTCTGCAAATGTGTCACGATGAATTTGCGCCGGGTTCCGAAAGGAGTGTCAACAGTTAATTACGGCGTTGTATTTTGATGGCTTGGTGAAATTCCGACTCTCAGCGGGAAGCACTCTCACATTAGTTTTATTCATACAATTTGTGCAAAAAAAAAAAAATCTGAAAATTAATAAAACCTTTGCCATAAGCCTGTGTTCCGGCTGATGTCTCCATAGCACCCAGAATTGAGGGGTGGTTTGCGAATGTACATCATTGATTGAAAAAGAAATCAATAGTGTTAATGTATTATTAGTGTACTATGACCAAATACATCACGGCAAGGTAGATGGGGATCTCTTCATTTCGCCGGAGAAGGTGCGAGTGAGCAGGGAAAACTCTGAGTGAACTCCTTGCTGATAATTGACTCATAGCCATTAGCGCGGCTGCTGATAATAAAAGTGTCGCCCGTGTGGATAGTTTGTGTCCTTATTTCTTCTCCGACATTAACACACTTCATGGCCCCCGCTAATTTGCTGATTTGTACAATATGGCTCATTGGCCTGATTTGTGCGGCAAATCTAATGCCAGCCTTGTTCTAATAGGAGTCGATTTATAAGATATAGAGGACTTCCATGTTTAATATAACGCTTAATTCTCACATTGCCTTGCATTTGTTAGCATAGTCATAATAACGTTTTCCAGCCACACAGCATAAACGTGGGCGAGTGAGCATGACAGGAGGAATCGGAGGTAATGCAGAAACTCTTAAATCTAATATCGTTTCTTATAACTTGTGCCGAGCAAGATTTTATTGGCAGCGGATGTCAAATAAAGACATGCCTTAGAATTAGGGTTGCCACTTTAGAAAGATTGATGTAAAATGTCTGGAAGAGAACAGACAGCACACAATAGAGCGAGATCAGAAGTCCCCTGAAGGTTCACTGAACATGTATTTCTGTGTGAGCTGTCATGAAATGTATTATTTAATTTTTGACAATAACAATAACATGTCTCTTATATAGAAGTGCAATTTAAAAAAAAGACTATCCATTTGACCAAATTATGCTCATGGAAATTAACATGAAGGTTTATAGATACACGCTGCTGTTTATTCTGACTGTTTATATACTGCTGTTTAAAAGACAAATGTGGATCATTATTGAATATCAAGTTTCACATGTACAACATTCTGAGTATCAGTATTTTTGAAAACAATTCATAAACAGAATCCGTCTCATGACATATGTGCTGAAAATTGCTATAATATTTTCCTCCCTGCACCTACAAAATGTTAGCCCAAACTAGAGCAGTAACAAATAATGGATTTATCTATTTTAGTAATTTAATTGTTAACTGCTCTTCATACAAACTTCAACACATGTATTTGTCGAGACATGTTGAGAGATGTATGCAAACAGGGAAGTGATTGGATTACAAATATCAGAATCAGAAGTAAGAGAAAGGCACAAACTAGGAATTGACTTTGGTGTATGGTGAAAACAAATCATACAAAAGTGAAAAATAGATATAAAGTAATGCATAAAAAATGGATTATAATTCTAATATGTATATACACAAAAAAGACATTAAGTAATTCTGTTTATGTTTTTGTATGATAAAATGGTCTGATCTGGAAAAAGTTACTATATCTACTATAGTGGGTTTATTAAAATTGAGAGACAGAAACGCTTGCTGACGATCAAAATAGTTGTTACTGTACTGTAGCTACAGCACTAGCACAAACGTCATCACAACAAAGTGCTGACAAAGCATTTCATTAGTGCCAAAAGGCCTGTGCTATGAAAAACATAGGCAGAACATCAGCAAGGAAACGCTATGGGCTTGCATAGGGAAAAGCAAATCAAAGTTACCTGTTCTTGCTGCTGCCGGGCCAGCTCCATTTGCTGTCTCTGTTTCTCCATCTGTGAAGCGGCCAGTTTCTTCTGCTCGTCGTGTGCGGCCAGAAGCTGCTCCCTCAGGCTGATGAGCTGCGTGATCATTGTAGAAAGCTGGTGCTCCTTCTCCGCCAAGCTCTCCGGAGTACCTGGGCAAGCAGACAGAGCAGCCATGAGGAGGCAGAAAGACAAACACTACAGCACAAGGAAAACCTACATTTAAAGCCTGGTTTTCAGTATCCCAGAAGCTATGACCAAATAAGCAACAAGAGGGAGTCTGTGGAGGGCCTTGGCCATTGTGTAAGACTAAATATAGAAAGAAACCGTGGCGCACATACCAATCTTCACATTGTGTTATTGTACCTCTCACAATGTACAGCACAAAAAGACCCACATGGGCAGCAACCGACTGCCGTGAATTCACTTGGAGTGTTAAGGTCACACAGCCTGAAGTTGTCTGTTTCACTGTAGCTGGTGTTCACAGCTTTCAGGGAGAGAAAGGCAAGGAATTGTTCCCAGCCCGTGGACAAAGAGCTGCAGGGCGCTGTCAAACTGAGCTGGCAGCTTATATCAAAGTACTATAGCAGGAGGCTTTGTTCCTCTGAGCGTCCTCTGGTCCTAACTTTGTGTGATGTCAGCCACACATCCAAGAGGGAAAGTAAACGGGAGGTTATCAAACTGTGGTGTAAGGACAACAAGTGATATAAACACACGTCCAGGGACAACTTCTCTAGATCGGATTTAATTTGTTTAGGTTACTTTTCTTTCATGTGCTAAATATTGTTAAGTGGTTAATTAGTCCTTGTCCACCTTGTAAAGTATATTTATGACATTAAGATTGTACAATGTTACAAATGGTCTGTTTGTTTACTGAACGCAACACTGAGGCCACACTACAAGTTATAACTAAATTGTCAAGTTTGATTGTCTTGTCAAATGAAAAAATTAAAGCTTGTATGTGTCCTGCAGAGCTGAGCCGCGTACAGCGAGGCAGAGGCTAAACTAGTGTTAAGTCACTCGCTGAATGTGTATGGGTTATCAAGAGCGCTCCTCTGCTGCACTCTCTCTCTCCCTCTCTCTCCCTCTGTCTAATCAATGCTAAGTGATCCTACCATTGACTTACACAGCCAACATAATTGCCCGTGAGAGGCTAGACAGTAACTCACTCTCCTCCCACTCCACTTCAGTGTGACAAGCTGATCGGGGAGAACAACGACAATGGGACAGGGGCAGAGGAAAGGATAAAAGCTTGGTAGTAGTCCTGATAACAGTCGAGTGTGCACTGGCCCAGGGCCAACCAGGGGCCAAGTCTTTCCTGGGTGTCTTCACTTGGTCTCTGGACACATCTGTCTTGAGTTCCCCGAGAGCTCCCTGGGGCCCTCTCCACTCAAACTATTTTAATTTGACTAAACACCTGATTTATTTTATCTCTCTGATGAGGAACGTCGTTTGTCTTAATAGGGCCTGTCAACCTCCAGAAACCATTCGGTGCAATTTACTGGCAGCGGACTTGTCTGTCTCGGCTCTGCCTCCGCTGCTCACTGCAATGGAACGGAGCTGCGATTCTCAAGGAAAAAAGAAAAACAGTCTAAAAGCTGCTATTTATGGGACCCGTAAGTAAACTCCAAGGCCTGAATTTACTTTTTATTCAACCTGATAGACCTATTGTGAAAAACTTATCAGTAAAATTGATGCAATCTGTACAAATTGTATTAACCTATGATTGTGTCCATGTTTTTCCAGGTCATAAGAAGTCAACAATCACTGTCACAGTAAATTACTACTAGTACGGTAGCAAGAAGACGAACAATAGATAGTTGATAAATGGGAAAAAGACCACAAAGGAAACAATCACCAGGTAAAGATTGGGGCCATTAGGTCGAAAACCAGACACAGCTGAACTAAACATCTGGAACCAATGGCACATTCCCTCCAACAACCTAATCACAGTTCTGATTAAACAAATGTCTGTACATCTTTTTGTACATGACAAGAGTAAAATAAACTTAAATTGTTTTGTTTAGAGATTTAAGCTTTTTATGGAGGAGCTGGTGAGTCAGTTGAAGAGCGGCGAGCTCGCCCTGGACACTTAGAGAAGGCTTAACAGAGGAGCCATTGTCTGGAGAATGAACTGTGGGAAGTCCCAGCTGCCCTTTTTGTTTAGGCTTTTTGGTTTTTTGTTTATTATTCTCTGCAAAAATGTGTGAAAAAACATAAAAAGCAAAAGTGCAGAAGCACCATTGTCAGTATAGAATAAAATGAAATACACATGTTTTCAGAGCTAGAAATCTCTTTTTTCTGTTCTGAATTATGGATCAGCTTTAAAATGCAGATGAAAGTTTTATTGGATGGAGGTAAAGAGTCGTGGTCTGACCACCATTCTGACAAAGGAGGCCGTTCCCTGCATATTGCATGGCTTCTAACAGCGGAGGCCTGTTAACTCGTCTCCTCAGATTGAGCTTGTGATGGCAGACAGACAGCTCTGAACTGCCCTAACACAACATACACCCAGCCGCCCAGTCAGACGTAACACGTAGTAACACCATCATGAGAGGGCTGCCCGTGATCATCCTAGCGCGAAGAGAGAACAAAGTCTTCATCTAAAGCGTTCTGCGTTCCTCCAGCTTATTCAGCATTTACCTACAGAGATTCCTCCTCTCTTCAAACATCATAAAGTGGGACAGCAAACATCACCGGGCGACTAAATAAATGATAAGAAGAAAACAAGCAGAGCCATGGTTGCTTGGCGAGAGTTGGGGGCATTTGAGCCTCGGGTCTTTGGATAAAAGGCACTTTGTAGGGGCGCGATTTGTTCTGTCCAATACCCACATCTCCCTCTCTCTTGGCTCCCTCCTCTCCGCTCTAATCAAGCAGTCTCTAATTTGGGTTCCAAGTCCAGTACCAGGGAAAAGAAGGAGGCTTGTTACTTTGAAGAGTCCCGAGTGAATAACACAGATAAAAGATTCAGGCACAAAAAAAAGACCAAAAAAGTGAGGGGGGTGAGGGTAAAAAGGGGGAAAATCACAAGGCACCCTATTCTCTTCCGCCTTTTCAGTTGGGACAGCTGAGCCATTATGACCAGAACTGAATTGAGTTTTTTAGCGCCTCAGGACTGGAATTTCTTTGTCTGTACACGGCCAGTTTGAACCCATCCTAAGTAAATTAAGACTTGTCTAAATGCGGCGATTGTACCAAGCGGTATCCTAACACTGCGCACACATAGCTTAAATGCCTGAGATGCTGAGGCACTTGCTACTCCCCTCAAAAAATGCATGTAGAGAGGATTTAGTACAGATGTGGAGTGTATCCCCGCTGCTTCGATCAATAAAATACATGTTTCTGTATATCATGTGTGGACGCTCGATTCATTTGACCCTCTGACCAGTTTGGACCGAGCACAAAGCGGACTGAATGAACACTAATGGCATCTATTGACATCTTTGTAAATCGTTGACAACTTTTAACCTAAACCTTCTCTTTTCCTTCTACGGGGAATACAAAATGTACAAAAAATTGTTTGTGCAAAAGTTCATAAAATCTATTAAAAACAGATGTTGTTCACAGGTTACACAAAGCCACAAAGTCAATGCGGCTGGCAGGGCATCAAGCTATAATAACACACTATCTACTTGCTTTTAACCACTGTACGACTACACTCAGTCCATATGTGTGTCCCCGTATTACAGTGTTAACATGTCTCCTTGTCCTACAACCTAGACAATATGAGCAACAGCTGTTTTACCTGGCCGACTGCCTCTGCCCCGATATAAAACGCTGTTAATCTTGCCAATAAAACTCCAACAGTAAGCATGAGCAGTGCCTCACAAGTGCATGTCAAACTGGCAGCTGCGCCCCCTAATCCCTTACCCTTCCAGTGCAACATGGCAGCACACTATAAGCCAATTCATGCCCTGAAACCTAGTTATGAAATACCTGTCAGAAACCTGAGGATCGCCTGCATTTAATTTACCTATATGGAACCTGATGCTGCAGGTCACTTTCTCTGCAGATCCTATTGGTACATCTAGTTTTGTATGCATTTATCAACAAATATTAATGCAGGAAAACACTTACACAAGCAGGGAATATCGTTTTGGTTCAAATGGGTTTCGGACTTATGATTGGCATATGGAAGAGCTCTCAATAAAAGACCTCTCGTAGTTGTGCTGTTCATGCCAAATGGAGATAGAGTCTAATATTTTGATGATGGTGGAAGATTCAGTCTGCTCTTTAATTATGATAATGTGAGAGATGCAACACTTAAATGTCTATCCATGACACTGGACAGGTACTTAAGCTGAGATAAAGGGAAAAAATGGATTGCAGGCGTAAAAACAGGAAAAGGAATATTCCAACAACACTGCCTGCTCCATTATGCGAACGTACAAAGTAGCACAAAGAAGCAGACATCTTAGCACGTCTTAATTGATGTGCGTGCAAGTGTCACATCCAACTATTTTATGCAAACAATATTGTGAAAAAGTAATGATTCATCTTTTGTTGTAGTTCACATAAAGAATCTGACTCCTTTCACCTGTACTCAGAAAAGTGTATAGACGTTTGAAGGTCTGTACTCACAAAGCACTCAAAAGACTGAGACAGTAGTCAAACGTAATATAAAAAATATTCAGAGAGCATACAATTGAAATTAGACTTAATATGATTCTTGACTATTCTTTTCACAAGTTCATAATTGAAGGAGAGCGACCTTTTTCCTTGGCCTGTGTTGAGAAATCAACACAGACAACACAGTGGGATTAATTTCCACTCTGTGATACACGTGTAGAAGAAAAATAATTATAGAACAACAATTACAAGGTCAGTCTTTGTGTACCTACCTTTTTAACGAGCAAAGATCAGACTCATAATACATTATCACACCATTAACTACATTACACTCAAACTGACACACAAGAACTCAAAGTTACTGCCTTTGTCTTAGTGAGGGGTGACTCAGGGTGTAGTTAGACAAGAGAAGCTAAAGTCTGCTAACGTATTTGTGCCGGATCTAATGCTGTTGGTTGTTTTGCGTTCTCACTCGAGCTGAATGGAGCACAAGACAAGCCAGAGCTCATACACCAGCAAGATTGGCCTATAAACTTTTTTAAGTGTCTGCTTCCTCTGACCCCTCTTCAAACTGTGTTGTTTACCCTGTATGCGTGTGTGTATAGGTTTGATATAAATTGAGTAAATGCCTGTGTGGATCATAGACCAGAGTGAAGGCGAGGTGAGGTGGTGGAGAGGAAGTGTCTGCAGAAAGGACCACTTCAGACTTTCCCTTCAACTTGTAGAACGTAATGCCAAAGAAGAAGACCACATGCTGAGTGGACAGAACATTAATAAAGACAATTTTAACACAAAAAAACAGGGTTTTAATTAAAAATCGCATGTTCCTGTCAGACTGAGCGATGCAGGCTGTCGTGTCAAAACGTCTTGGCATTTAACCCTTTACTTTTTGCTGAGGCCAGCTCAGTGAGAACACACAGACCAACCAAAGCAACACAAATCGTTTTTTTTCTATCTGTTGCTGAAAAGGTGGTTTATGTGAAGAAGGTTATAAAACTTTCACAATCTGAATCAGAATCAGATTTTTTTGTATTGTAACAGGAAGTCACAAACTAGGAATTTGCTTTGGCTCATGGTGCGCAAACAAGTTATAAGAGTATAAAGATAGATATACAGTACAGTGCATAAAACATCTTCATCCTCATGTGCTGCTCTTTCCTTTATAAAGTTGTCCTGAATGTGTAAGAATGTAAGAATGTGTTGGTGTCATTGAAGACTAATGGTGAAATGCTCATGGGCGACATTTTCCTTCAACTGCCTTTGGTGCCATTCACTTACATTGAAAAGTAAACTCCTCTAGTTCTGGAATGGTTTATGTCTTTATAAACAAAATATGATCCCAAATAACCGACCGATCAGATATTCAGATTGAGCTCGCGAGTAGCTGGGACAGGCAAGCTCCTGATTGGCTCTTTGATTGATTTTATAGTCTCTGGGTCAGAAAATAAGAGGTTATACATTAAATTACTCAAAAATGCATGAATTGTTCTAAAATCAAAACTGTCTGTGTAAATGACAACTAGTACAACACGGTGAAAAACTGGTAAATGTCAATTTTATATCCGCACATTAAACAACACATTTCTATCACAAAATAATGCTAATTTGCCTTTGCTTACGCATATACACAGCCTTGCACAGGAGAACAGCACTTCCTTTTTGCCTCTATTGCCACAAGCTAAATTCCTCAATTCATTAGAGGAGAAAAACACACAGTCCAACACTCTCATACATTCATCTGGCAAATGTGGCCTGAGGAATAATGATTTACTGTGGCTCATATTTCACCTGAGTGCACAGGGCAAACAGTTGACAGAAGTGTTATGGAGAAAATGCAAACTGTGGCATTTTGGACAGCAGCAACAGGACAGATGCTGTTTTGTACCAGTTGTGAGTACACGCTTTGTGTGTTTCGGTAAATATTTTATAGAATAATATTCAGATGTAGAGATGGAAAAATACAGGCTTATTTCACGGGATGTACTTTCAAAACGTAATTAGATTTAGTGTGATGTCCTGCTTGAGAATGAGAGTTGTTGTTGAGGTGAACAATATTCCACAGGGTTTAAGCCAGCGCAGGTAGAGCTAGCATCAAATCAGGCCTGAGCCGCTGCCCTCTGCTGTACGGTCCTCCTAAAGGGCTTGCACTTATCTGCCCAGGACAGAACTCTGTGTGTGTCCCCACCACTGTCATGTAGTCTCCATCCTCTAATCGATTTTGACACTCCACAGTCCTGATTTATGTGCTTCAAAATCCAAACTGCCATTTCAATGCCAATGTACAATGTTAAGCTTTTTCTCTTTTCCATTAGAATGAATACAGTCCGTGTTCTGATTTAAAAACAACATATTTTCCTTCAGTCTAAGTAAATGCTTGGGCCTTTTCACCGCCATGGCCCCCAACAGTGGGCTGGGGAACTGGCACACAGCAGGGAAACTCAAACAGATCTGTTGAGTATGAGACCCCGCACGCAGAGAGCAGTGTAAACAAACCTTATCTTCCTATGAACAGTGTATAGTATGTGACACAATGTGCGTTTACACACACATGGGGCATTCACGGTAAGTTGATATATGCCCTACAAAAGTGTTAAAGTGTGTAATGTCTGCTGCAGTGCAGGGTATATTATTATAAATGGTTAAGTCTAAATACACACATCTAATATTTCTTTCCAGCTCTCTTTGAGCCGTCTGCTGCTCCTCCTTCCTGCTATTATCTCAAAGTCTCTGTGGTTTGGAGCCCTTCCAACGGCCAGCCTCATTGCTCCGTGGTTTTGTTCAGGAGATTTCGTCTCCCCCACATCATGCCAGCAGATTGACAGCTCAGATCAGGTATGAAAACAAACAGTTACCTCTGAATCGACTGGTGAAAAGAAATCCGTCACTAATGCTCCTTCTCAAACTCTGCTGGCCCTGTTGATGCTAAGCCCTTTCTTATTCTCAACCAAAGGCTCAGCACAGGATTTCAGATCTCCAACCGTAAACAACACTATCCTGCCTAACATAAAGTGTTCAGTCAAAAAAGTTCTATGCTTATATTATGTATAAAGGTAAATGCAGAACAACTTCAAGACAATAGTCTTCTATTCTTTTGTTTTTATTATTCTTTGAACTTGTTCACCGCTGCAGCATTCAGGGCAGGTTCGAACAAAACTGCAGTCAAAGAATGTTTTTCTTTTTATGGTTTAAGCCTCAGGTCAAAGCTATCATTTCTATTGTTTAGAGCCTTTTTGTGCTTTAAGACCCATAAAATAATATGAATACATATAATCCATCTTGTGCCAATTAGATCTCATTCCCTGCTAAAACCCAACTGAGATTTTGACTCAATATTAAAAGATAGAGTTACAGTACAATGTAAGATTACTGTAAGATAGCCTTCCGTTTCCTTCTTTCTTTCGTTTGGAGATTAAGGAATGTTAGCCTTTTGTGCCATGTTGAACCTAACAATGAATGGAGCCTTGCATTCATCATAACACTTTAGATCTTAATCATGAGGTGCTTTCTGCTTGGTACCTTTGTTTGTGTTTTAATTAGGCAGACCTTGTGCATCTCCGACCCTGGGCTTCTTTTTAATTGCCCACATTTACATCAGGCAGACATCAAACGCAGAGAGAGAGACATTTGTAAGGGGGAGCACAAAGCCGCCCTTTGAAATATCTACAGTCATATGAAATTGCATTCTAATTAGAAAATCTGATGGTGCTACTGTGATAGATACATACATTGGTAACTGTGGTGTATAGGTCTTCATAATACACTGCTCTGTATTATCAGACTCCCTACCTGTTTACAGACCACCAAGTAACCTTCCCATTCCTATTCATCAAACAGGAGAAATGCCCTGCCTTTAATTTAACAGTGCGGTTTTCAAAAGGCCAAATCATTTTAAACATTTCCCCCACTGCACTTTGATCTGTCACAGGAGAGACTCGAGCAGGTGCAATAACTATAATTTACCGAAGAGGAAAAAGTGTCCTTCCGAAAAAACATAATAATGAACAATGCTTTCACCAATTCACCCTGAAGAAGATAATTGAGAGATAAAATTCAATGCTTGGGTTTTACATAATCCTCTGACTTTGTAGAAGAGTGGTATTCGGTGAAATAAAAACAGACCTTGTGTTATCTGATGAGCAGTACAACAGGGAGAGAGCGTGAGTGCCAGTGTTATCAGCCAGCTGGTATTGTGCTGTGCAGTATAAACAAGGATGTTCTCAGTAACAGTCAGAGCAGAGGTCCGAGGCCCTGCCCATGGGCCCACCACAATCTCACACATGTTCTGATGGACTATCGTTGGGTTTTACCTCTCCATGCTTGATACGCAGGATAAGAAATGATTTGGGAGAATAGAGTAATAGAATCTGCAAATGAATGAGCCTGAAACATTTCCAAATAACTTAACTTTCCCAAAATAAAACAGAAGTTAAATAGGATTTTGAAGATGGAAAACATACATATTCAATATAATATAGGACACATGAGACACTTAGTTACTCAGAATTCATCATGTTATAAAGAGACTCATATTCATGTGGTCATTTAGTCCCTACCTTTGACTTCTGCCAGAAGATCACTTGTATTGAGCCGTTCCATTTTCTCTTTCCAGTCTTTGGAAAGAAGTTTCTCCATGCAGGTTGATTCTAAAAGACACACACAAACAAAGCTTTATAGATACGGTTTCCTAAATGTAAATATCAGTAAACATTAGTAAACATAGGTCAGAGTTGCATCACATATTTAATACTATAAATGTGATGACAGGACATAGCACAGCGATCATAAAATGAGAACCATTCTGACAGCTGAGATAAGCATTGTGGGATAACGTGAAGGCAGATACACATTAAGGAGTGATGCTCGGTATGTCTGAACATTCACATAGCTGCCAGTGATGAAAACAATTAACATTTGTTCAGCAGACAATGAATCAGCAGAGGAATGGCTGTAATCTGCCAGACTGTCGCTTGGGCAGTTGATAAAGAACACAGTGGGCTTGCTGACCCAAGCCTCCACCGTCCCAGAGCAGCTGAGGGGTCAGCCTGTTCCCATCAAGACACAGACACCCTGCTACAACCTATGAATAGAGAAATCAACTTGTAGTTTTTTCAATATACGTAATTATAGTTTTAGGCTTTGTAAAGTTTTGTATCATAAAACGCATGAGAATGTTCAAAATATAATACTAAACATATCTTCTTGTGATGAATCGGGGTAGGATAAGTTAGAAGCTAAAGTAGGCTGCTTTAGAAATGGCCTTCAGATAGATCAAGCAGAGTGGCCATTTTGTTTGATTGTCCTCTTCCTCCAAAGTGATGGGGGTCGACAGGACATCCAGAGCACAGGGTCATTATAACATTACTTCTGCTTTATTGACTTTCCAATTCCCATCTCACAGTTTGTCCCCTTGACCCAAAGAGAGGGAAGAGAAAAGGCAGCGTTTTGTTTGTGTGTGTTAACTCCCTCCATGGTACAAGGATCTTCAAAAGGGTTATGTCCAAGGGAGCGCAGCACAGCTTAGCTTCCCTCAGCCCCGGGTGAGGTCGCATCCTCTCCCCGGACGGCAACATCCCTTTGAATCATAATGGAAGCAGACATAGTTGTTTGCCCTCAAACCCAGAAAAGCCATATTTACAGTGGCATAAAGGGGAATTAAACAAACATAGACACAGCATATGTCAATATGGACACATATGCTCCGTCTCGCACACAGTTTCATCACAGATGCTCCTCCGGCACTTGATCATTAAGGAATGCACCAACATTTGGAGATAATGTGGTGCCAGCTTCCATTCTCCTCCAGTCCTCCCTCTGAGCTCCAGCTCCCTCACTCCATCCCGTCCTGGGCCAGACACAAGCTGCCAAGTCCTCAGCGGCAAACACTACAGCTGGAATGCTGCTCTGTCCTCCCTGCCTTCCACCTGGGAGAGGTGAATAATGGCCTGGATTACCCCATGAAATAACTTGCACCTTCCACAGTTGGAACTCGTAGACAAGGCAAAAAAAAAAAATAGGTTTGAACAAATGTGTTTTGTAAATTAGCCTAGATGAATTGTTCAGTGCTTTTCTATATTTATTTATATTTATCCCAAATTATCTCTCTTGTTGGCTGGGCATTAAAAAGAAACCACATAAGAGAATAACCTAGTAAAGTTTATATTTATTTTTCATTGGGGCCCCTAAATCTCTGAGCCTGCTTTTTCATATATTTGCCTCAACTCTGAAGATAATATGTTCTGTGGCTGGGAGTCGGCCATTCAGCTGGGATGAGAATGGAATGAAAACAATAGCCCTTATCAGTCTCTTATTTACATTTTCCCAGCGTCCCTGCAGTACACAGCTTGGCTTGTCACCAAGCCCAGATCGCCCCACTGGACCAGGACCAACTTCCTCTAGCCCCCGTGATTCCAACGGTCCCTATGGACCCTCGCCTGGCACGGCCCCTGTGCTCTGCAGCCAGTGCAGATAGCAACACACAAGACAAAACTACTGGAGGAGAGAGTGTCCAAGATATGCTCCCATCGAGAGGCAAATGGAGTATGGGCGGCTTAGTCCGACGGCGTCTCATTGTGACTGATTCTGAACCGGCCTCAAAGCTGGATAAATGCCCTAAAACGAGTTCCTTTTCTTTGAGTCATCAAAAGACGTTGAAAAGTGAGCACTTCAGATTACTACTGCCAGAATGAAAGTGTTTATCTGCAATCGCTCTCTAATCAGGTGTACAGTCTTCCTGTGCAGGGATTGTGCGATTGATGTGGCTGTAGGAGGATGAAGGGAGACACCTCGAGCCAAGATCGCTTCAGATTAGACTACACTTTTTCTCTGTATTAAAAACAAAGCTAATGATCCTCATAAATCTGTACAAAGGAATGTCTCCAGATCAATGTGTGACATAAACAGTGTTTTCAGCACCTGGCTGTCAGAGCTGCCAGAGGATCGTGTTCTGTAAACCACAGTCAACAAGCGGCAGTGATAATGCAACAAGTTGTATTCTGTATTGAATACAGTTAAACATGTGTGGGTGTGTTTATTTGCTGGTGAAAATATTCAACTCAATAAAACACTACATAATATGTCCAATTTGTTCAGAAACAGGGAAACTATAATTCATATTATTTTATTTGCACATTAAATGTCTTATCTAACTGAATCTAATACATGTGCTGATCCATCCAAACATGTTCTCATGTTTCAAGAGAGTGCCAGTACAGAAATTGTTTGTTACGACATGCAGCAGTGGGTGTTATATTACTCTGTGTTGTCAGCAATGAAAACGTTTCAACTGTCTGTGGCCACACTCACACTTTGTGTGTGTGTTCTATTCTCTGAGGTGAAAGATGATACTTGTGTTTGAGGGTTTGTTGTGTAGAAAAACCATTGGCAGAGGAAGAGGGCCATCTCAGGGAGTCAAATTAGCTATAACTCATGGATAACACAACCAGAGTCTTCCCCTCGGGCCAAGCCTTGCATATCAGTATTACACAGCCTCAATGGGAATGTGCCTCATAATTAGTACATCATAATCAGATCAGTCAATGAACATCACCACTATTCAATTCAACGTAGTACATACATATACATATTTAACACTTTCCTAAAATAATATCTACACACACCTGCTTGATTCTAAACTTTTTCTAAAATCTAAATTCTAAAGAAAAAAGTGCTTAAATTGCTGAAATTCTGATGTCCTTTTCAAAACTCTCCTCATTCAGAGATAGATTTGTCTAATTTAGTCATGCATCTCTAAAACTCTCTGACTCCGACTCAGACAATGATAGGCTGACATCTAATTTCACATCCACTCCGCACTTCATGGGAAACAAATCAAAAGTCGAGAACGATAAAAAAGAAAATGAGTGTGGCACACTCCACAGAGTCCTTTGAATATCTTAATCACAGACACACTAAAAACAAGACCCCATCATCACACCAAATAAAACATAATAATTACAAGAGGCAGTCAGGGAAGTGAAATGCAGAAAGAAAACATGTTTTTGTCATTCAGCCGGTAGTTCCTGAGACAACAGCTGTTGGATGCTGCAAATACTCCTGAAGTCTCCATAATCATGGTGTTATTGAAGTGAGGACAAAAAGGGCACTAATTGCAAGGGAGCAATCGGAACGCAATAGGTTACACACCCGGGTGATGCCGCACAATGCAAACGCTAAAGAGGAACTCAGGGGAAAAGACACTCGCTACAACAGTGCAGTGTCGCTCATTTTCAGGCAATTACATTCCACGTTGTCAACAATTTTAATAACCTTTACCATCTCTAGAAGACTTTTAGAGCTGTGAAATAACCCTAGCCCAGGAGTAATCAGGAGTTCTGGCATACGCACATAAAAAAGGCCATCTCCTTAAGACATGTCACTATAGTGAAGCACCTGCACATGGAGGTGGGCTTTCTTTAACTGACACCTATTCATTATTCCACTTGCTGAACATCTCACTTAGACGCCTTCAGATCCTCCTGATTGGTCAGGTAAACAGCTGCTATTATTACACTGTGGAACCCTAAATTTACAAAGGAAAGGGCACAGTAGTTTGTGTGGTGTTCAAAAAGTTACGGGCCCCGGGTTATCAAAAGTACTGTACATTTAAATAATTTAGATGGTTAAACAAATCACTTTTTTCTCTCCTCTGATCAACGTGTTAATCCTCCAGCGGTGACCTGGCCACTCACCGGAGCCACAGTCCCACACGGCAGCTTGACCTCTCTAAATAGGACACGTGTCTATCAAGCATATATGAATTAACCATCCCCAAGAGGCCTCACCTCCTGAGCTGAGCAGCATGTGACCTCTCCCAATCCATTTTACTGCGGCACTCTGTGGCAATCAGGCTTGAATTATTAAAGTGAGCAGTGAGCAATGATCAATTCATTGTGGCCCCTGCTCGCACACTGCCTGGTCGTACTTCAGAAGGAATGACATTGAGAACACTTGAGTATGCTTCCAGACAATGCACATAAATGTGAAATATGTCAGACCCGATATGTCAATAATCATAACTGTACAGGCTGGGGCCATGTCCAGGCTAATCCTGCAGAAATGCCATTGAATGACAAAGGGGTTAAACAGCTTCTATGAATGTGATTCTAAACCAATGCTCGCTTAAGGGTGAAGGAAAAGTTGAGGGGCACAAGGGATATGCAGGATCAATTATCATAACATTTATCTATTTATAATTCTAGTAAAATGTACACAATATTGTTGTTACCTTTTGTAAATCATGCAATGGTAATGGAAATAATTCATAAATATTTTTTTGAATGATGGACAATCAACAAAATCTGAATATATCATTAGAGAAGCAAAAACCCCATTCAAACTTTGTGAGATGAGGAGCTGAGATAAAAACAGCACTCAGAGCCCCCAAAACTGCAATCTCCCCTTAAGCCGGAGAGTGGCAGCTGGCAGAACAGCTGGTGAATAGGATTAATGTCAGAAGAATGAAATAAAACTCAACATATGTCCGAGCCCGAGGTGTTGGGACTGTGCGTGATTGTGCCCCCGATGGATGCCATGTGTGCAGCTGGAAGGAGCTGCTGTGCTCCTCTCTGCACCAACAAGGTCACTTTTAAGAACTATGACCATTAAATGCTTGGATAGCAAGATGAACTTTCCATCCCCTGTACAT